TTTGTCATAGATGACTTTTATTAGATTGAGATAAAGACCATCTAGTCCAATTTTCTGTAGAGGTTTTATCATAAATGGGTGCTGGACTTTGTCAAAATCATTTTCTGCATCTATTGAGATGATCATATGATTTTTGTCCTTGGCTCTGTTAATATGTTGTATTATGTTTATTGATTTATGTATGTTGAACCATCCCTGCATCCCTGGGATGAATCCCACTTGGTCATGATGTACAATCTTCTTGATGATTTGCTGCATTCTCTTTGCCAGTACCTTATTGAGGATTCTTGCGTCTATGTTCATTAGAGAGATTGGTCTGTAATTCTCTTCCTTAGTTGGTCCTTCTCTGGTTTTGGTATCAGAGTAATGGTTGCTTTCAGGAACAAATTTGGGAGTATGGCTTCCTTTTCAGTTCTCTTAAAAAGTTTAAGGAATAGTAGCATTAGGTCTTCTCTAAATTTCTCGTAGAATTCAGTAGTGAATATGTCAGGGTCTGGGCTTTTCTTTGTTGATAGTTTTCTTAAATTACTTCTTTAATTTGACTGATACTGGGTTATTTATAATTTTTATAGCTTCTTGATTCAGCTTTGGTAATTCATATGTATCTAAGAATACATTCATTTCTTCTGTGTTTTCCATCTTATTAGAACACAGGTTCTCAAAGTAGATACTGATGATCTGGAATTCTACAGGATCTGTTGTAATTTTACCCTTTTCATTCCTAATTGCTGGATTTGAGTCTTTTCTTCCCTTTTTTGATAAGGTTGGCTAAAGGTTGTCTATTTTATTTACTCTATTTTAGTTCTTTCAAAGAACGAACTCTTCATTAATTCTTTGTATCGTTTTCTTAATTTGAGTTGCATTAATTTCTGCTCTGATCTTTATAATTTCCTCCCTTGTTTGCACTTTGAGTTTAACTTGCTCTTTTGTGAGAACATTGAGGTTCTGCATTGGGTTGTTTGAGGTTGCTTTGTTTTTCTGATGTGGGAATTCACTATAAATTTCCCTCGTAGGCCTACTTTTATTGTGTCACCTAAGTTCCAGTATACTGTATTGGCCTTACTGTTTAATGGTAGAAACTGCCTAATTTCTTCTTTAATTTTATCTGTGAGGAGGCTGTTATTTAATTTCCATGTGTTTACACCATTTTTGTGGCTCTTTTGCCATTAATTTTCAGAATCATTGCACTATGGTCTGATAATGTACACAGAATTATTTCATTTCCTTTGCATGCAGTAATTTAGCCTATTTTATGTGATACAAATATAGCTACTCTTGCTCAAGTTTGGTTTACATTTGCATGAAATACCTTTTTGTATTCCTTCACTTTCAGTCTGTGTGTTTTCCTGGTGCAGTAATTTAGACAATATATTATTGGAGCTTGTATTTAAAATCCTTTCATTCAGTTTAAATCCTAGTGTGAGAATCAGATCCACTTGTACTGAAAGTTATTGCTAAGTGAGGAGGCACTCTTGTCATACAGCTGATTTTTCTCTTGTGTATCCATGCACCTTTCTTCCTTTCTTGTTCATGTTTGTGGTTTGCTGGTTTGCTGTGTAGATAAAGTTTGATGATTTTCTCTTCTCTTTTGTGTATCTATTAGTGAGTTTTATTCTTTACCACCTTTTTGCTTCTAGCGCAGGACTTCTTATGCATTTTTTGTAATACTGGTCTGGTGGTAATGAATTTCCTGTTTCTTGTGAGAAAGACTTTATTTTTCCTTCATTTCTGAAGAATAAATCTGCTAGATATGGTATTCCTATTTGATAGGTTTTTTTTTTCCTTTCGGGACTTTGACTATATCATCCCATTCCAGCCTGTAAAGTTTCTGCTGAGAAATCTGCTGCTGTTAGTTTAATGGGAATTTCCTTACATGTGATTTAATGTTTTTCTCTTGCTGTCTTGGTTACTTTTCTCTCATTGCTGAGACAAAATACCTGATGCCCAGAATTAAGGGAGGAAAGGTTTATTTAAGCCAGAGTTTGTAGAAGTTTCGGTCCATAATCAGCTGGCTCCAAGGCAGGGTGGCATGGCACAGGGGCAACTGTTCAAAGTGGCAGAAGACAGCAACAGCAACAAGAGCAAAAGGAGTCTCTTTTCCTCATTTATATTGTGTGCCAGCTATTCGCCCGTGCCATCTCTGTGCCCTCCTCTTGCGCAGGATGAGGATGTTTACAAAGTAAGGACCCTGGCTCCCTGCCGAATCCCTTAGTTAAACTTCTAAAGTTGACGCAATGTATCAAGCATTACACTTGCTGTTTTTAGAATTCTGTATATTTTTTGATAGCCTGACTATAACATGCCTTAGAAGGGAATATATTTCAACGTATTTCAGCAAATACATTGCTGAATGTATTTGAGATCCTTTTAGTTTCCTGGACCTAGATATACATATCTTTCCCAGAATTTGGAAAGTTTTCAGCTATTATTTCATTAGATTTTTTAATGTTTTTTTCTTTTCTCCTTCTGACGCTCACATATTGCAAGTATTTGTTAAATGGTGTTGTGTCAGTCTCAGAAGGACCCAGCCTTCCTCCCTCCCTCCCTCCTATCTCCCTCACGCTCTCCTTCTCCCTTTTCCTCTTTTTCTCTTTTTCTCTTGGGTTATTTCCAAAGATCTGTCTTTAAGCTCAGAAATTCTTTGCTTTGCTTGCTCTAGTCTGTTGGCCCAACTGTATTTTTTAGGTCACTTACTGAATTCCTCAGCTCTCAGATTTCTGTTTAGTTCTCTTCAGTGATCTCCATTTCTTTGTTTAATTTCACATTCATATCATGAATTTTTTCTAATTGTATTGAATTGTCTGTCTATATCATTGGATTCCTTTAAAATCGTTTTGAATTATTCTTCATGCAGTCTGTCAGTCTTTCTCTTTGGGAGCTGTTACAGAGTTGCTGTGCCCCCTTGGTCTTGTTAGTTTTCCCTGCTTCTGTGTTCCTCTACTGATGCTTGAACGTCCGGTAGATCAGCTGCCTCTATCAGCGTTAAGGGCAGCTTTCACAGTAAGAGACTTTCTCCTGGAGATGTGTGCCGGGACAGCCACTGGGCACACCACCTCGGCTTTTGCTCCAGGTAGACGCGGTCGTGTTGGGTCCATTTCGCTTCTCAGCTGTGGTCAGTGTGGGCACTGCCTGTGAGCGTCCCAGGGGCCTGTGCTGCTGGTCGGTGGGGTTGCCTCGCCAGGTAGGATGCAGCCCTCTGAAGCGCAGTGGCTGTGTTGGTGGCTTGGAGCATGGTACGTCTGGCTGCGCGTGTGGAGGCCCTGCCAGTTTCCAAGGGCTGTGCATGGCGGTGTTGCTCTGGAAGCCCGCTGGGTGCACTGACGGTCAGTATCTGAGGACTGTGTGGGGCTAGGCCGCCCTGGTGGCCAGAGAAGGCTGCTCTGAGCATCTGATGGTTGTGCAGTCCCTCTGGAGGGCCTTGGGACGCTGCCCTCCCCAGGGTGACCGCCCCACCGCTTCCCGGCACCCAGTCAGGGAACGAAGCCGCCTGGCTGCGCGTGTGGCTCCGGCAGGGTGAGAGGGGGAGGTGCTGCCTGGATGCTCCCAGGGCTGTGCCGCAGCAAGCCGTTGGGGCTGCCGCACTGTGTGTACAGCCGGGGTGGCCAGGGTGCCGGGGCAACTGCCCCGCTGCTTCACAGGACCCCAGTGGGCAGGGTCACAAGCAGGTGCCGTGCAGACAGCCACTGGGAAGGGCATAACCCAGGCTGGCGTCTCTCTTCCGGGCAACGTGGCAGTGAGTATCCTGATAGCTTCCCTCTGGGGTAAGGGCATGTGAGGTGCTTCTCCAGGAGCAAATTCCAGGTGTCTGTGGCACTCAGGGTGCTTCTGAGGCCCCCTACTAACCTTCCCAGCCTGTGCAGCCCCTTGGGTTCAAGGTTGATCTCAGCTGGAGAAACAGCATGGTAGCTGCAGCGTGCTTCGTTCCCTTCTGTGTGAACTCACCGTGTGTCCCTGCAGCCCCTCTGCCACGTCATCTCCACTTTCCTCTTGTCACTGCCCTCAGACACACTAGTAGAGTGGTTTTTGTTTTGGTCCTTGTTGTGGTGAGACGTGCACCGGGCACCACTGTCATCTTGGTGACATCTGTCTTCCAATGTCCCACTTGGTTTCCCTGAGATCTGGGGATGGACCCCGGAAACTTCACGTCACTACCTGTAGCAGGGGTCTTTGCTCCTGCTGTGAAGTTAAGGCTGTACATTGCCTTTTTAATTGCTTCTTCAGTGTATAATATTTAGTTGGCACATCAGTTATTTTATGACATCTCTTCAAAGATATAAGCATAGAACTCTTTCAAAAAGGTTAGCCGAAAATAACATTATGATGAAAATACCTAGTTACCACGAGGTAAAAATACCTGCCTTGGCTAAATCAGAGCCCCTAGCATGTGACTAACAGTAGCGGTAGGGTAGACTAGATTGTGATGCAATAACCAGCCACCCATCTCAGGCTTAGTGACATGGAGGTTGCTCGACTGCTCGCTCACACTGTGACACAGGTCGCAGGTCCTGTCTGTGTCACCTTCACCCTGGGAGCCTCGCACAGGGAACAGACCTGCCTGGCATGCTGCTCGTCAGGGCGGAGGCGAAAGAGCAATGGTGAACGACAGGCTGGTTCCTAATGCTCCTGCCCTCCCAAGTAGGACCCAAGGCCGTTCTCGAGTCCGGCGGGACGGTGATGCCCAGGGGCGGTGACTGTTTCAACAATGACAGCACTGCTCTGTATCTTTTCTAAGATAATAATTTTTTAAATTATTTTTTATTTTCTAGTTGTTTTGATCAATCTTGTATTCTTACATCTGGTTATCTGAGCAATTTCATTGAAGATAACAATATGGAATATAACAACCATTGTTAGCTTCCTATCACCTTGTTCTGAAATTCTGTATCATTTTTGTTTTTTGTTTTTGTCTTTGTTGTTATTTTGTTACTGCTTTTTTTTTTTTTCTCTTTAAAAAAAAACAACAACAGGACCTCACAGTAATGCTGCAACTTTCCTTGTAGGTGCACATGGACACCACAATGTGTAGACCAGCCATCTCTCCGGCCCACTTGGACACCACAGCTTCCGAAACATTCACGGTGCTTCAGCAGAGGATGAGAATAGTGGAGGCACAGACCAGCTCCCTGAGGGATGACCTGATTATGCTGGGCTGTGGGGACAAAAGGTAACAAAGGAAAATGAGCTGGGGCTCTGTATGTTGAACAGCTCTGTCCCACCATTTAGCGGTAAGGCGTCACAGCGGCCGGCAGAAGAGAGAGGGGCGTGGGGAAGCACGGAGGGTGACAGGGACCACTTGAACACAGAAAATGTTTGTGAGATGCAGACTTACCCTGTGACAGTGACCACCACTGTCTCTCTGTACAGTTACTTAGAGCGTGCTCATTAGGTATGAAGTAAGTATTCACCCTCAACATGGGATTGAAAAACAAATGCAATTTTTCATATGATTAAAAAATTTTAGTTCTTATTTTAAAATCAGTCAGGGGGAAAATCTGAAGTGTTGCTTCATGCCATTAATTTGGTCTTCATTTTTTTCTACCATGTTTATTATAAGTTAAAAAACTGGCTTCAAATCTTTTTAAAGATTCCACAATTGGAATGAGATACTCAGAAAAACTGTTTATTCCCCTGGTACTGCTAAAAGAGTTGTTGACTTTAAAAGTTGGGTGACCTGTGGCCTAGGGAATTTGGATGCTTGTGCATTGATATGGAATATATTGATGCATTTTTTTTTAATTAATTTCTTGAATACCTCATTAAGACATAACAATACTGTACAGTTGTTAGTAACATAAAAAATAAGTAACTCTTTAGCATTTAAAGATTAGATTTGGTAAGCAAGGCATAGTCTCATATGCCTATAATTCCAGCCTTCAGGAGGCTGAGGCAGGAGGATCACTACATGTTTAAGGCCAGCCTGGGTTACATAGTGAGACCCTGTCTCAAAAAACAAACAAACAAAAATTTTTTAAAGAACTTTGGTACAAATATTGAGTGTGTTGGTAAAATAATAGGAATGAATGACTTTGTTTTAAAATTTTCTAAAAACATGTGCATTGGTTGCCCCTATACTAACTTTAATTCTTAATTCACCATTACAGAATTGATATTTACATGTTTTAACATACGGAAGAAAGTTTATGAAAAGTCCACATTAAATAAACACTGTAAGGCAGTGATCTTCCAGCCCACACTGGACTTACCCTCTCTACCTTTAGTGCTATGTTTGAATCTGGAGGGGCAAATAAATGCTTGTCAATGCAGGCTTCAAATTTTTGTTTTACCTTTTTCTTAAATTTACTTTTATTTTTAATTGACAAATAATTGTGTGGGTTTGTGGATATTCTAAATGACGCGGACTCTCATGGTGAACTCACCAGGAAACCACTGTTCCAAGTGGCCGGGGCAGAACAGCCCCAGCAAGGGGTCGACCTCCACTCTGGGGGACTGGATCGCAAGCACAGGGCTTCAGGGACACGGCCTGGGGTCGGGGGCGGGGAAGGTGGAGTGTCTGTAGTGCTCAGCTCGGGCCACATACTCACGCGGGAGGTCAGGCAGCACAGGCAGAACAGACTGAGGCCTGGGGGCAGCCTCTTCACTGGGCTCCAGCCCTGCTCATTCAGGTTTCCTGTGGGAAGCTTTATCTTCTGGCTCTCCAGAAGGAGGTCATCCTGGGACTGAGAGGTGGTCGCTTTTATGAAAAGGTGTGTCTGTTCAAAGGAAGCACCAGGAAAGATACCTCTGGGTTTTTATCTCTGGTCCAGCCGAGGGCAGAGTATTGCAAACTGTCAAGTGTGACCGAGCCCTGCTTTGGTATGAGAAAATTAAACTTACATTTAAAATGAATGCTGAGGCAGGCATGGTCGCGCACGCCTGTAATTCCAGCACTCAGGAGGCGGGGGCAGGAGGATCACCATGATTTCAAGGCTAGCCTGAACTACATAGTGAGACCCTGCCTGAAAAAATAGCATAAAATAAAATAAAATAAAATAAATTCTGAGGCAATAGAAAGTCATAAGCCCCGACCACAGTGGGGAACACTGATGTCATGATACACATATGCATTGTGGAATTATTAAGCCAGAGTCACATATCTACCTACACTTCACATACTCGTTTCTGTGGTAAGAACATGGAAAATCTACTCTTTTAGCAATTTAAAAATACTGTATACAATACATGAGTATTAACTATACTCACTTATTGCGCAGTGGATCGTTAGAACTTATTCCCCTATTGCAATAAAACAAATTCAGACCTAGGGTCTAGAGATGGAGCTCAGTAATCGTGTTTGCCTACCATGCATGAGGTCCTTGGTTCTGTCCCAGGACTACAAAGGAAGGAGGAAACAGGGGTGAAGAAGGAAGGAAGGAAAGAGTGGAGGAAGGGAGGGAGGGAGGGAGGGGGCAGGGAAGAATTCCTCTTAACTGAAAATTTGTACCCTTTGACTGTTATCTCCCCTATCAACAGCCCCCATAACTCCTGAGACCCACTAACTATTCAGTTCTATTTCTGAGTTTATTTTTTAAATCCCACATAAAAGTGAAATCCTGTGGTATATTTGTCTTTCTGTGCCTGGCTTATTTCACTTAGCCATAATGCCTTCTGGATTTATCCATGTTGTCACAAGTGACAAAATTTCTTCTTTTTGCGGCTAAATAGTATCCACTTGTGTGTATTTTCTTTACCATTCATCTGTTGATGAGCGCCTGTTTGCATCCCTTGACTGCTGTGAGTAACTGCTGTGCAGTGAACTTGAAGTGCCTACCGCTGGTCGCTTCCGAGCTGACTCTTACATGTGGGTCCAGTCCCTTTGCATATGGATAGTCAGTTTTCCTAGCACCATGGAATGGAGAGATTGTCCTTTCACCACTGTGTGTTCTTGTACTGACTTTAATTCTTGGAGGTGTATACCCAGCAGTGGGATTACTTGATCATGTGGTGACGGTATCTTTAGCGTTTTGAAGACCCTATCACTGTTTTCTAAAATAGTTGTGCAAATTTACCTTGTACATAAATACAGTTTTTCCTACATCCTCATCCATACCTTTTATCTTTCACCATTTATTATTAAATCTATTAAGTGTTATGTGGTATCTTGCGGTTTTAATTTGCATTTCCTTGATTTTAAGTGACATTGTGCATTTCTTCAAATACTTGTTTATCATTTGAATGTCTTGAGAAATGTCTATTTAGGTGCTTACCCATTTTTTAACTGGGTCACTTATTTTCTTTCTATCTGAGCCCTTATAAACTTCAAGTATTTGCCCCTTCTCAGATTATAATTTGCAAATACTTCCCCCAGCATGTGGGTTGCCTTTTCACTCTATTCTTTCCTTTGCTGAGCATGAACTTTTTAGTTTGATGCAATCTCATTTGTCTGGTTTTGCTTTGGTTGCTTATGCTTTGGGGCTCATATCCAAGAAATCATTGCTAAGCCTAAAATCAAAGGTCTTTTTCCATATATTTCCTTCTAGTAGCTTCAGGCCTTGCATGTAAGTCCCTAGTCAGTTTTCAGTTGGCTCTTATGTATGGGTCCAGTCCCTTTGCATAGGGATAATCAGTTTTCCTAACACCATTCAATGAAGAGCTTGTTCTTTCACCACTGTGTGTTCTTGTACCTTTGTTGAAAATAAATTGATTGTGTAAACAAATAGGTTTATTTCTGGGCTGTCTATCCTAGTCCACCAGCTGATGTATCTTTTTATGCCTATGTCGTGCTATTTTGATTACTATAGCTTTGTGATATAGTTTGAAGTCAAGTACTATGTGTTTTTGCTCAGACTGCTTTGGCTGTTGGGGGGTCTTTTGTTATCCATATGAATTTTAGGATTTTTTTTTTTAATCTGTGAAAAATGCTGTTGGAATTTCAATAAGAATTGCATTGACTGTAGATTGGTTGAGTAGCATGGATGTTTTAACAATTTTAGTTCTTATACTCGTGATCCTGGAATGTCTTTCCACTTATTTGCATAATCTTTAATTTCTTTCATTAGTGTTTTATAGTTCTAGAGCACAGATTGTTTATCTCCCTGGTTAAATTTATTCCTAACTTTTTTTATTCTGTAGCATATGGGAAATGCTTTTCCTTGTTTCTTTTTCAGGTAGTTTAATGTTGATATATAGAAATGCAACTGAGTTTTATATGTTAATGTTTTGTCTTTGTATGTTAATTTTTATATTGCATCTTTACTGAATTTATTTGGTTTTTGGTGGAGTGTTCCTTGTTTTCTACATGTAATATCATGTTTTAGAAAGCAGGCATGGGGGCACATGCCTATAATCCTAGCACTCAGGAGGCTGAAGAAGGAAGATTGCTATGAGTTTGTGGCCAACCTGAGCTATGTAATGAGTTCAGGGCCAGCCTGGACTACACGGCAAGACCCTTTCTCAAAAAAAAGCATGTCTTTGGCACAATGAGACAATTTCATTTCTTCCTTTCTGATCTGAATGCCTTTCTGTTTCTTTTCTTGCCTAATGCCCTGTCTTGGACCTCCAGCACTGTGTGGAATAGTAGTGATAAGAATAGGCACTTTTGTCTTGTTTCTGATCTTAGAGCAAAAGCTTTCAACTTTGCACCATTAAGTGTGTCCTCTGTGGGCTTCCCATATATGGCCTTTATTGTGTTGAGGAACATTCCTTTTCTGTATAATTTGTAGAGAGCTTTTATCATGAAAGGATGTTGGATTTGTCAAATGCTTTTTCTGCTGACAGTAGAGCTTCTGACCACCCTCTCCAGGGAGTTAACTGATCAGCAAACTCCTCTGTCAGCCTGAAGAGGTCCGAGCAGCACCGAAGAGGTCAGAGCAGCTTTCCCCAAGCCTTTTCTCCTGTGTGCTCTGCTGATACCTAGAGGCTGTCTGTAGCAGCAGTTGGCAGAGTACACTAGCAGCTGGGCACTTCTCTCCTTCCAGGGAGAAACCTGGAGCTTCGAGCATGTGCCTCACCTTTCCCTGCCCTTTTGATGTGTGTATTTTTTCAGTCAGCCATGTCTCTCTCTCAGCTCACTTCTGACTTTCTCTTCGAGGGAGCTGACTTGTGTATGGATGTGTATTTGGTGTGTCTCTGGGTAAATGGACAGTGAGCCTCTTTACCATGTAGATGCAACTGTCAAATAATTCTTACCAGAAAGCTACATGGACTGAGTCATTGCGACCACCATAGTGCAGATTGCCATGCATAATACTGCTCTGTTGGGATCTTTGTCCAGAGATCGGTTGGAAACTCCAAACTATTTCGAAGACCCTGCCAACCAGAAAGTTATTAGTCCTATCCAGAGTGAAGTAATCTGCCCAGGAAAAACAGATGTTTTGTGGAAGAACTGTGAGTTTCTGGTAAATCGAATGTGTCATCTGGAAAGCCTCATCCAGTCCTTGAAGATGAACATCTTTCATCTGCAAACTGAAAAGGATTTGAATCCACAGAAGACAGGTATCGAGAGAAGAGCGTCACTGGAAGTGTGGTCTTGGGTGAATGCTTGATGAGTTTGTAATTTCTCCCCTTCGCTCTCCGCATGCTCCTGCCTGCCGCTCCTGTGATGTCTGGTAGCTTTACTGAAGGACCGACTGAATATAATACAGGAGGAGCACTCCAAAGATTTGAAGCTGTTACATCTTGAAGTGATGAACTTGCGCCAGCAACTGAGAGATGTAAAACAGGAGGAGGACAAGGCACAAGATGAAGTGCAAAGGTTGACCGCCACTCTGGAAATGGCCTCCGAGACCAAGGTTTGAGTGCAGAGTTCTGAAGTACAAACTTACTGTTGGGTACCCACGGGGTTGGGTGGGGGGCTATAAACCCACAAACTGACTTTCAGAAATAGGGGGCCTTGAAGTGAGGGTTCCTGGTGTTTGACATTTCCCTGCATTGATGATGTAAAGCACTATATGCTGTCAGTCAATGTCTAGTGCCCTTGCCCTGGACAGGGGACAGTGAGCATCCGGAGGAACGAGGCAGAGGCCGTATTCTCCTAAGAGCTTGTGTGCTGGTTGGGGTACGATGATAAACAGGAAAAGCAGGAATGGAGAAAATGTGATAGGAGTGGAGGACAGTAAGTGAAGATTGCAGAGTAAGGGCTTTGTGTTCAGGGTGAGGGCACGGGTGAGGATGCCCTCTGTGGTGTGGCACAGGTAGGCTACAGGAAGGAGGTGGGCCTTGAGCTGGATATCCAGTTAATAATATCCCTTAGGTACTGCCGGCTGATCAGGTCCGCAATCTCCCAAACAAATAAAAAGAGGCGAATGGAATTTCAGGGCTCCAGGAGGATCAAAGCCCTCTCACAGATTCTCTCGGGGCTAAGACCAAAACCTTTTCTGGGTGGCCTGTATTTAGTTATTAGAAGGGAGGGAAGTACTCAAGAAGGGTGGAACCTCTCAAGGACTTCTCCAAGTAAGGTATTAAGTTAATCAACCCAGCAGTAAGATGCCTGAGGCTACAGTCTTTATCTAGGTGAGGTTGGATCCAGGTGTCCTTGGCTATGACCTTGTCTTATCCTTTGAGGCTCTCTGGCTTCATCTGCCATTACAGGCCTTAGTAGGGATTAGTGACTCACAGAGATTCACTTACTATGAGTCTGCTGCCCTTTTCTAGACAAGCAGCCTAGGCCTTGGATAGATTCACAAGTAAACATGGCAAACCCATTGGTTAATTTAAGTTTTGCTCAGAGCTGCTTTGTAGAGGTCTCAGCTGCACATTTAGGAAATGGAGAAGTAAGGATGTTTCAGGGAGCACCACAGAGGCAGCAGAGAATAGAGACTCCTGGGAAAAGGAGCTTAAAACACTGCTTTGCTCTCGGGGGCCAGGCAGTGCATGTTGTTGCACATGTTATATGCAAGGCCTTCTGAAGTAGGGTGTTACGGTAATTCAAGTGAAAGGACTTGTTTTTAATAGTAGAGCCCTGGAGCTGGGAGAGAGGCCATGTGTCCACAGTCACCACCTCTCTTTGTCCTATGACCCAGGTTTGAACCTCAGTTTTTCCACTGGGTGTGGAGTATGTAAACCACCCTGACAAGAGCAAGAATTTGTTTGTAGGAAATAAGTTGGATATTAGCAAGGGATCCGTTGAAGAGCATCAGAAGATCAAAAATGATCATAGCAGGGCTGACCCTCCTGGGAGTGATCAAGGTTTTTCATATAGAAGTGACAGAATGTGAATGGCCAGAACACATGGTGGAGGTGGCGTTGTAGAGCGCTCTGTGAGGGGAGGAGCTTAGGGATGCCAAGGAGCCACGCCTCACGTGTGTGATGAGAGCCTCATGAGGTCTGACCCAGGGTTGTGGTGTTTTGAAAGGAAAGGAATATTTTATGGAGAAAATGTTGCAGATTATGGTACAGGGTGGGGACTGAGATGAGGAAAGCTGTGCTCTGGGTTGACATCTGAGATTGTGGTGCCATTCATAATAAAAAAAAAAGAGAATAGGTAAAGAAAGCTGTGTTTTTGTCCTCAGCTCCTCAGCATAAATAGTATTTGAAGCTAGAAGAAACAGTTCTTTAAAAAAAAAAGGAACGTACCCTGTAAGAAAAATATCTATCATTTACCACCTTATCCTCTGATTATTACTGAATCTTGCATTGGAGGTGGTATGATTAATCACAATTTATGTTCCAAAAGGTGAAATGATAGGAGCCATTAATCAAAGAAATAGAATGATTTTATTTCAAACCATCTCATAGTAATAATTCCTTCAAACTTACAATAATAAGCAATATTTACAACCATATGGAAACAGCTGTTATAGAATGCCAAAAGAAAGCCTAGACTTGAACTGATATACCTAGACAATTTCTTCCTGTTATTCTAGGTTATTTAGAACTTTTTCTCCTTCTGCTTTTAGAAGAATTCAGCTATTATTGAAGAGGAGCTGAAAACCACCAAACGTAAAATGAACCTTAAAATTCAGGAGGTAAGACACAAGAATGCTAGAGGGTGTTGGAAGTGAAGAAGGGAAATAAGGAACTGGAGAGGGAGAAACAGGAGCGTTTTTTGAAAGAGGAAATGTATGACTGTGTAGTGGGAAGACTAACAGTATGGCACATATGAGTCAAGTGAAAGTACCTGGCCTAGACTACATGAAAGACTTCCTTCTTCTTGAACATTGCTGTAAAACTAGAACTAAAACAAATGCCCTCTGAGCCAGCAGGGAAATCGTAGTCACATCCAGTTGCTCTTGCTCGTGTGGTTGATTGCTCAATATGATCGAGTGGGCACCTTCATCGAAGGCCTTTCAGTCTAAAATTCTGTTTAAAATAAAAAGCATTTAATAAACCTGCTCATCTCCTTTTCCCTTGAACCTTCACTTCAGCCTGAGGTTTGGAATTAGGAGGTGGGTGTCTGTAAGGAGCTGTTGGGCTAAAAGCGGCAGCGTAAGGCAGTGCAAGAGTCAGAACAGTGGCTCCCTCTGCAGGTCTGACAGTGGCCCAAACACTGCAGTATTCCCGGACAGAATCATAGCATCAGTCCAAATCAAAATGGCACATTACGTTCAGAGAATCTTTTCTATAAGCTGGAGAAGCAGCTGTACTTTTTAGGAAATTTCTCATGAAAAGCTTTTTAAAATTATAATTGTAGTGCTTATCTAAAAAATTGGTATCTAAAAATCATTGGTATCTAAATTCTCTTATGCAGGGAAATTTACTTGCTATTAATTTGATAAAAGCATGAGCATTCATAGTTAAAACAGCAAAATTTCAGATATGTTCATGGACTGTCTTTTATTTTTTCTTTTTTAATGGACTTCGTTTTAGATAAGTTTTAGGTTTATAGAAAAATTGTGGAGAAAACATATAGCCCTTCCATTAATAATGCTTTAGAAATGAATACCTTAGTAATATAATTAGCAAAGTTTCTTTCCATAAACACTTGGTCTATGTGTAATTATATATAAAAGAGGCAAATGCTTCTTTTCAAGTTATGATTTTTTAAAAAGTAGCTAAATCTTTTAAAAGCTATATCATGAGAATGATAAACAATTCAAAACAGTGAAATATTGACTTTAATGGCTGATTTATAGATTGAGCACATTTAACAATGATATAACTACAGTACAAACTAGGTGGTTTGTGAGAATCCTGAAACCTTCCAGAAACAATCATATCTTGATGATATTCTACTATATAACTGGGTTCAGAGCTTAGAAAAATGCATTAAGGTATTCCTTACAATGAAGTAATTATGATCTGATACAAAAACCAGAAAAAACGTAGCCCCAAATGAAAACTGTGACTCACTGTTACATAAAATTATAATATTTAACTTGTCATTGGAAGAAAAGGAATGTCTAAGCTTGAAGAAGCAAAATTATATACAGCTCAATAGATTTGACCATATGAGAACTTAAAACTTCTACATGTAAAAAAGTAAAATTAGTATTATTTTTAAAGGTAGGCAAAAGTTAATAATTTTCCCCTTTAAAGAATTTAAAACGGACTTTTAGAAAGACCTAAAAAAACAATGGGTAAGGAAAAAAGTATTGATAGCTCAGAAAGAGCTAAAGAGCTAATAACCATATCAGAAGATGTTTCATTTCACTAGAAGCCAAAGAAATGCAGAAATAGCAAGGTGTTATTTTTCACTTATAAAATTAGACATGATTTAAGGGAATGATAATACATAGCCCTGATAAGATGTATTCAAATACTATTGATAAAAGGTTCATGTTGCAAAGAAAATTACAGTGTTTCAGAGGTAACACGAACCTAGTAATTCTTCTTGCATCGCCAATAGGGAAACACACATTAAAAATATGTACAGTAATTATAAAATGTCATCACATTATGTCATCTTCCTTGGGTTTTAAAAATATAATTTCTTTCACTTAAACATTACTTCATCAAAGGAATAGCATTCTCACCAATCCTATTTTAAGCTAGAAGGTATCTCTTCTCATAATTTATATTTTCCCACTTCCACCCACCACTCAACACTTCTGACTGTGGACATGTGGGGATTTCCCTGCACACGCCAAGCAGTTCTTGTCTCCAGTGGAGAGTAGCTGGATCTCCTATGACTTGATGAATCTGACACTGTCCGCCTGGGGGTAAGGGCAGATCCCACAGTGCAGGGCTTAGTCCCACAAGACTGCTCCCCACCCCCAACTTTAGATGTCAGCTGCAAACTCAGGTTGTGCCCTGTGGGTAAGTCAGGGTCCCGTAACCAGCCCTGTAGATTCAGTTCACTAGAGTTGCTCACAGAACTCAGGGAAACTTTTTTTGTATGTTTGTATGTTTTGTATACCATTTAGAATGTATTGTTTTGCAGCTGCCTTGGATTTGATGTTTTTGGTGTGTATTAGTGATACACAAGAATGCGTTTCATCCTGGTGTGTTGGTACTTGCCTAGCGTTTGCTGGATTAACTTCATCCCCGTTACCTCCCTTTCTCCTTCGTCCCTCCCCCAGTCCTTAAGTCTCCTTTCATGTTTTCAGGAGAACTCTCTCCTTACATTTACCCATTTATTTTAAGAATACCTGCTGAGCACTCTATATCAGAACATCTGAACTTTGCAGTACTCCAAAATCTGAAATTTATTGAGCATTATGGAGGTGGTCAAAAGTTTCAGATTTCAGATACTGTATAAGAGGATATTTACTTCATAGCTCGTGCACATAATGAAATCTGCCATGAACCGATGTGGCTCTTGATGTTCCCGGTAAAACAGCCAGAGGATGAAGAAATAAAGAGCCAAAAGCTGAGGTCAGGTGGCGCCCTCTCTCCTGATGGGAGGAAAAGAACTGCCCAAGAACTGCAGAGCATTTGTGTACACCCTCAGGAGGTTGCTGTCAATTTCAGCCTCTCTGCCTAGCAACCTGTTAACAAGCTGGAACAGCTTGTTTACCTGCCTCCAGGAGGAGCTCTCCGGGAGGAACTCTCCTGTTCTTTGGCCAGCTTTGTCTTAGGCCCCCATGTGTGATTGATTTCCAGCTTCAGCTGCTCCCTACAGAAATCCAAAAGCCTCCAGAATCGAAAGCACTTTTTGTCCTAAGCATTTCAGGTAAGAGATGGTGGACCTGTGTCACTAAGTATACAAGTGAACAGTGAACAGAGAGATGTGCAGGGTGAACCCTGTGGGAGAAGGATGGAGTTCCCTCCTCTCCTCACACTGCCAGCCCACGGCTGTTTGGAAGCTCTCCCAACCCAGTCCTCTGGGCCTTTATAGAGGTCTCATTACTTAGGCATGATGGCGTCCCTGGCCACTGGTGATCAACTCGACCTTTAGCTCTGGTCCCCTCCGCAGAGGTTGGTTGGGGCTGCAAGTCCCAGCCCTCTTCTCACGCTTGGGCTTTGTGTTGATCAGCCTCTCTGAAGGTATCCAGGGCCCTCCATTCACCTCCTCTCAAGGAATGACACTCTCACCTGGAGACTCCCTGGGTCTGGGGAGCTGTGTGCCAGGAGCCAGGGGCAGACATCAAATACGTAGTGCTTGTCGTGTCACAGTACCTGAAATTCTTAGTGTCAGTTTTGTCTCCTGCTTAATTACTGCATTGTTTAGAACTTCAAATTCCAAAACAGAATTGAAAGAGCATTTAGAGGTATGTTTATAGTACTACAGTATAAAAGCAGATGATAAGAACAAATGTCAAAAGCTGAGTTGAAAAAAAGCCAGAAAATAGAGAAATAAGGAAAATACCTACTGAGACATGATACTAGTTTTTCAAACTTTCCAGTGACAACCAGTTGTACTGTGTACTGCAACGCCGTGTGTGTGTGTGTGTGTGTGTGTGTGTGTGTGTGTGAGAGATAGATACACATCTGTGCCAGCAGTTCACACAGCAGTGCTCTCCTTTACTACTCACTAGACATGCTCTCTGTTCCACCCTACTCTTTTTCTGAGTGCTGCGTGCAGCTTTCCGGTAGGTCTTAATCCCAAATTTGGGAAGCAGACTTCAACATCAGGAAGACGAAGGCGACAGATTCGACTCCACCCCTTAGGGAGGAACACGAGCATGTTTCTGGGCAGCCGTCAGTGAGCAGCGAGTGTCCGAGGGGTTATCCGAGGGCGTTGATGTGCCCAGCAGACTTCTCGTGGTGACTGCGCTCTTTGTTAGGCGGGTAGGGTGTTCGCTGGTCTTGCCTAACTAGAGTGTTGCTCTGCAGCTCAGGAGACAGCTGGCTCAGGAGAAGCACTTCAGGGAATCTCTTGAAAAATCAGGATCCGCTATGCTCCTCAAAATACAGGAAATGGGATCCACGGTGGAGGTGGAACGGAAACAGGTAGAAGATCTCCTCTCCTTGTTTATGGTAGAGAAGTGAAATCAAAAATGAAAAGCTGATGGGGCTGGGGATGTAGCTCAGCGGCACAGCGCCTGCCTGGCAAGCGCAACGTAGTGAGTTCAATTCCCGGTACCAGAAAAAAACCAAAAAACAAAAACAAAAAAAAAAAAATTGAAAAGCTAATATTTTAGCTGTAAACTTAAAATTTCGCTAATTCTCTTTAGATTTATTAAGTACTTTTCTCTAGTAACTTATTAACATTCTTATTACAATTTTTAAAAATTTAGTGCAATATAAGAACAGACCAGCTCTACTCTACTGCTGCTTATTCCAGCAGGCTTCATTTATGAGTGAGACGGCTGAGGAGCAGAGACGTGTTTGTGTCAGGCCGTATAGACACACATAGCTCCTGGTACAGCACCCTCCCTGCGCCGTGCAGTCTCTGCTATAGGCATTGACTTGGAAGGCACTGCCCTTGCCTCCTGCTATATGTGTGTGACCTGGACAGAAAATAAAGACTAAACTGAACTAACACTTGAGGCAAAGAATATTAATAAGCAAAGCAATCAGGAATATATCTATACAGCAAATTTCAATTATTTAAATGTAAATTAGTTAAAATTAAACAAAACTACAGATTCAGATCCTTGGCAGCATGAGCTGCATTTCACACGCTCGCGGCACTGTAGAGCGGCCCGTGACTGTTGTGCGGCAGAGCGTGCGGACCGCTGCTGTAACCCACTGCGTTCTGCCGGGGTTTTTACTGTGCAGTTTGGGAAATCTAGAAGGCCATTTATGACGAGTCTTACCTTACAGAAAAGGAGTTTCTCTTATGCAATTTCAGGTGCACATTTTGCAGCAAAACTGCCTGGCCTTGCGCAATTCTATGCAGACCACCCAAGATCTACTGGCCCAGGAGCAACAGAAAAAGGGAGAGTTGGAGACTGCTACCTTGCAACTCAAGGCTGACCTGAGTAAGAGCACAGCTGCGAGAAATCACACTTTTGCTGGAACCCTGAGGGTCCGTGCAAAGCCCTTGAGGGCCCAAGTTCTTGAGGTAGCCAGGGCCTCTCGTATTTCCTACAGTCTCGAATGTAGAAAATAGCTGATTGCCATTCTGACTCTAATGCTGAAACCAAGATGAATGTTGCTATAAAGAAACTGACCCTCTTAATTGTAAACTGTTTTAGCCCCTCTTCCCATGCTTATTGAGGTGTGGATTTGGGAACATTTGATTTCTAGACATGTAGATTGAATATTAGATACAAAAATCATGGGGCTGGGGATTTAGCTCAGCGGCAAAAGCGCCTGCCTGGCAGGCGCAAGGTCGTGAGTTCGGTTCCTGGTACCGGAGAAAAACCAAAAAAAACAAAAAACAAAACAAATAGATACAAAAATCATAAAGGTATAAACCTATTAAGTCTTGTTACCTCACTGAGTCTATTATCATGTCAGAGTCTCCATTCTTCAGATTGTCAGTGTATTTTGATTAACTTATATTTGTGAAGGTGGCGGGCGTGAGGGACCTTACAGAGACCGCAAACTGATCTCCGCATTTTACAGGTGAATGAGTCCTCAGAGCAGCACAGCGAGTGAAGAGACGGGGTCGCCTCTGTGTGCTCAGAGTCAAGCAGCTCCTAACCCATCAGCTCTTTATCTTTCTGCTTCTTTAATATGTCTTCTAAAGCAGCTTTAAGGTGGTCTCAGCTACAGAGATTACAGGGCTATGTAATTAGCACTGCGTGATTTCCCATAAACTATTTCATACTCAGCCGTGCAGTTACAAGAGGAAGAAATGGCAAAGTGAGGCCTAACCCTGGGTCTCTAACTCCAAGCCTAGTGTTCCTTTTATTTCACCATCTCTACTCTGTGACTGTGACGGGCAGAGAATGCCAAGAAGGAAATGAAAAGTACGGTACACAGAATATAGAGGAAAGAGTAATCTCTCCAGTGTTATGATTTACATTGTTTTAGCACAAAATAGTGGACTCTTTTTTTCCTTGTAGTTGTTGGGTTGTGAATTACCACTGAAATTCTCACTGACAGTGTCCCAAGGTGACTTTCTGTCATCTTCCGATTATGAGCCTACAAAAGTGTGTTACGTTTTGTGGCACGTTACATGATCTCGCTTGAGCCTTACAATAGCCTTGTCTGGAAGAGAAGAAAATACGCCCACTGTACAGAAGAATACGAAGACCCAGGTGGGCTGTGCCCAGTGACCCTGATGACTAACCCTCCTTGTTGCTGAGACAAAATACCTGGCACCCAAAGTGGAAGGAGGAGAGGTTTATCGTAGTGCACAGTTGGTGGAGGTTTCAGTTCACAGTTGGCTGGCTCAAAGGCAGGGCTGCATGGCAGAGGGGCATCGTGGAGGACAAACAGTCCAGGCATGGAAGGGAGGGCAGAAGGCAGCAAAGCAGCAGCAGCGAGGCAGTAGCAGATAGCAAGTGAGGACAGCAGCCTTCTTTCTGTCCCTTGCATTCTATCCAGGCTACAGGTCCTTAGGGCTGGTAGCGCTTACACGCGGGCTGGGATTTCTCATCATTCACACCCAGAATATGCCAAACCAGTCGGTGGACTAATTTAGTAATCACACACCTTTGATCCCAGTATCACACACCCTTAATCCCCGCATCACACACTCTAGATCCAGCGGCCTCTGAAAAGCCTCGCCTGTGACCACAGGCGGCTTTGGGGAGACACCTGACGCAGCGTCGCAGACCCACAGCACGCAGGGCAGCTGGCTCTGACTCGGGCGTCTTTCTGCTGTAGTAGTGGGCTCCCCCATGAAGTGAGATTTTCATGTCATTTTCACGTTGGAATAATGCTGTATATTTGAATTTTGTAAAAAACGTGGGAGCCATTAAGGAGTAAAGATTGAAACAGTAGTAATTCAAACTAGCATGAGGTGAAAAGAGGCCATCTGAATACCTGCTATGTGCTTAGTACTGAGTTAAAGATTTTTGCATATATGCAGTTCTATGTTTTTATAGTCATTCTAGCTAGATTAATAAAAGGAATGCCTTTAAATATTTTCTTTGGTTAATTTAAAAAGTAGTTTTTATTAAGTATATTAGCAGTAAATATCTGTATGTATTAAAGTGATTAAATTGTTTTTTCAACTTAAATATTCCTTTTTACTTTGATTAGTAGGGTTTTCAGAACAAGTTTTCTTTTTGATCCTTCACACATTTTAATGAGTCATGGATTCATATGTTCAAAAACTATAGTTTTCATACTGAATATTCTATATAAGATGTGGTTTTTATATTTTGGGGGCTTTAGGATTTAAGTGAAACAAAACTAATAGGTCTTTGAGTTTTTCTGTAAAGCCAAAGCGTTACTCTTAGAAAGTTACATCTTTGTACTAGTGCACAGTGCCAAATTACCCCCCACCTTTCTGTCTTTAATTTTCTTACACTGCATATATTCTCTGAATGGTTTCAAAGTCCCCACACAAACACACACACAACCCTCCTGCCCTGCAGACCACTGTTTACTGCCAAGGCGGCATCTGCATTTGGCTGCCCTGCAGGTGTATCAGAACATGTGCAAAACTAAGCATGCATTCGAACTCACTCTGACCCCAGGCCCCAGACCTGCTCCTGGCCCTGTATTTCTTCTGCACTGGAGGAGCCTGCCCTCACCCTGTGCCCAAGTCTGAATGCCAGATGTCCTTCCAGGCCTGTTGTGACTTCACCAGGAGCTGCCGTGTCCTCTCCCTCAGTACCGCCCTGGTCTGTTCCTCCTCTATGTCCCCGTCATCCTTGTTCATGGCAGTCTGTTTCCCTGAGCTGTTTCCCATTATGTCCCTGCCTCTGTTGTTTGTAAGAAGATCCCTGAGACATATCATCTTAACTCTGAGTAAAATACGACCTCGTGTGTCATTGCAGATGACTGTGATCATCTGTGATCAAAGAACTAGTTTCTTTGATAATTCCGTAGCTTAGTTTCCAGTCTATAAAAATATGATAAAAATACTTAGGCTAAGCCAGGCGTGGTGGCACATGCACTCGGAAGGCTAAGGCGGGACTGCCGTGAGTTCAAGGCCAGCCTGGGTTACATAGTGAGTTCAGGCCAGCCTGAGCTGAATGGTTAGACCCTGTCTCAGAAAACTAAAAACAGGGCCAAGGATTTAGCTCAGTGGCACAGTGCCTGCCTAGCTAGTATGAGGTCCTGAGTTTGATTCCCAGGACCAAAAAAAAAAAAAAAAAATTAAAATTAAATAAAATCAACTAAAAACAAAAGACAAAACACATAGGCTTTTAGTCTATAAGAATACTTATGTTCATCTTATTCCCCCCAAAGTTATTGCCTATAAAAATTAAAGCTTTGCAGGGAAAAATAGCATGTTATTTCAGTGTAGTAAGTTATTTTTGTCATAGTCATGTGGACCTTTTGTTTTTAGATTCTAGAGATGACCTCATTTCCAAGTTGCTTGAAGAAAACAAGGTAAGTTTTCAGGTTGTAGAGCACAGAGATGGTCCTCCCTCTCTTAGGTCTCATTTTCTCCTTTATGTTGGTATATAATCCTTGTGATTCTCCCAACAGCTTTAGAAAAAAACGTTTTGTGTAAATAACTTCTGGACTCAGGCTAATACTAGGTATTAAAAACTACTCATCTCATGCAGGTTATTATAATTTGAAAAGGTGTTTTGTCAATTGTAAACTAATTGTTAAAAGAAAAATTTTTAATGAAATGTGAGACAGAGCTACATACTGGTGTAGGCTGTACACCAGTGTGGATGTATTTAATATCACTAAACTGTACCCTTAAAAATGGTTGGGACGGTAAGTTTTGTGTTTATCTTACCATAATTTAAGAAATGGGCGGGCATGGGCACACTCCTATAATCCCATCACCCTGAGCAGCCGAGGCAGGAGTTTCAGCCCAACCTGGGCACCTTTGCAAGTTATTAGGACCCTGTCCCAAAATTTTAAAAATTAGAAAAGGGTAGGGAGATGGCTAAGATGAAGGCCCTGGGTTCAATCACCACTACTGACAAAAATTTTAAATTAAAAAATATATGTATATAGAACTACTTTTATATTTTAATGCATTTCACAGTTAATCCTTGATGGGATGGTCCCATTTGCAATAGTTCTGGATGCCGGCTCATCCTGTCTTGTGTGATAGTTATCTTTCTTGAGATGCATCTCCTGGGAAAATGGAAAAGTGGTCTTTGTAGGAGAAGAATCACACTTTGTCTTTGCCTTGCTTACTGTTAGAGAAATCCCAGCCCACAGTCACGTCACCGACACTACCTCAGAGAACTGGTTTGGTTTTGTTTTTTCTGCAGACCGTAGGTGCCTTCCTCAGCTCCGCCCCAGGTACCCTGTCTTCACCTATAGCTTTGAAAGATCTATGTCTGTGTTCATTTGAGGCCACAAGATCTTACTGCTGCTAAGAAAAAAATGTATATGTAATGTAACATAAATGTTTACCTTAGAAAGTAGAACTCCCACAATAGAAATCTAGTGGTCAAAATGTAGGTTACGGTTCAGGCAAACCCTTTCTCATTGGGAGCCCAATACGAGAATAGATTTAATAAAGTTTTTTAATAAACCATATTTTTAGAGCATTTTTAGGTTGAGAGTGAAATTAGGCAAAAGGTACACAGATTTCCTGTGTCAGCCCCTGCCGCTGCCGTGCAGTCTTCCTTCTGCTCAGATCCCCACAGGGTAGAGTCCTCACAATCCGTGAATCCACATTAACACATCATTCTGCTCAAAGTCTGTTTTACACTAGGCCTCCCTGTGGAAGCATCCATTCAGTGGTTAGGACAAATCTATAAGGACACATACTTACTGCAACAGTATCATACTGAGTACTTCCACCACCCTACACCTCTGTCCTCTGCCTGTCCGTCCTTGCCCATCCTAACCCCCCGGCGCAACCGGGGTTTGCGCTATCTGCTTAGGTTCATCCTCCCCACAATGGCGTGTGGTTGGAACCACACGGTGCATGTAGCCCTTTTAGACTGGCTTTTCTCAGTTCAAAGTCTTTTATGTAACTTTAGCTTTTCTTAGCTTGATAGCTCGTTCCTCTTCTGTGCTGAGTAATATTCCATTGTTTGGATGTTCCTACAGGCTATCTGTTAGCGTACTGAAGGACATCTTAATTGCTTTTAAGTTCTGGCAAATTAAGATTAGGCCGCTATAAATGTCTATGTGAAGATTTTTGTTGGAGATAAGTTTTCGACTCCTTTGGGTAAATACTAGAGAGCGTGATGTGGTACTAATATTTTTAGTTCCATTAGAAGCTGCCCAATGTATCCTCTAAAGCATCTCTATCATTTTGAGTCCTACCCGCAGTAATGAGTGACTGCACTTCCTCACCTCAGTTTGCTGTGGCCCATGTTCAGGACTTGGACATTCTGACAGGTGTACATAATGGTATCGTGTTGTTTCCTATAAATAATTTAGAAATAAAGAGAAGTTTGGGAGTTGAAGATATTAAGGTTTTTTAAAATGTCTTATAAGATGAACATCTGTATGTCATTAGAACTTGAACTGGTACCAGCGAGAATACAGATAGGTATTTTATGGAGATACATATAATGCACATGTGAAAAGGAGAATAATTATCTTTCCTACTAGAATATGCAAGTGTCTTTCAACAAAGAACATAAAGAAAATGCATATTTGAGGTCTGAAATATTAACCTTTCATCAAGCATTAGAAAAAGCACAGGTAAATCTTGATTTCTGTGGTTTTTAGATAGTACTTATGTTTAGTTAAAGAACCAAAACTAATCCTGGTAATATAAACTCATACCATCCTTATCACCCAAGTTTTTATTTCCATAAGAACTAATTCATCTTTGAAACATTATCAAATTAAGTGCATTGCTCATTTCATTCTTCAAGTTCCTGTGACACAGTGGTATACAAGATACGTTACTAAGTCATACACTAGTTTACACCTTGCTTTTGTTTACTTTGTAATTAGTCATTAAATAAGTATCTTGCCGCCCCTGCCAGTTAACCTGTAAGCAGTTCAATGGCAAGGGCTACGTCTTATACTGTTTCTGTATCTTCCATAGCAAATAGCACAGTGGGAACCTGGTAAATATTTCCTGGATATTGGAGTTAAGTGTAATCATTTCCCATGGAATGGTGGTTCCCAAGTTTAGCTGGTCCTTTATATTAATATGTACATGTATATTATAGTCACCAACTAGGTAGTTATACTGAAGTGAATATCACAGAGTCCAGTAAATTGCTGTTTACCACTTAAAAATAACTTGGTACAGTTTAATTGCAACGTTAGGATAATAGTTTTGCTGTGCTTTCTTTATAATAAATAAAATACAAAATAAATGACCTGTTATAAACTAATAACTACTACTACTTTTCCTATACTGATATAGTTAACATTTTTACTATGCTCATCCCACATTCCAGGCACAGTGCTGAGTACCTTGGATTAATAATTGCGGATTTAAAGTTTCATTTGTGTATGTTTCTGGTGCACAGCAGTTTCTTCTCTTTGGGGGCTTGGTGCAGGCACACAGCACATTCCCTCACCCCTCCAGCCCCTCGCTCATCACAGAGCCTGCCTTTCTGTTTCCTGCAATCCCTGCTTTACTCCTCCCTCTCATCGGGGTGCATTTCTCGTAGAAGAGAAGCTGTGCAGTACTTTCTGTGTCTGACTTACTTCACTTACATTACGACTTTAAGTTCCATCCATGTTGTACAGATGATACGACTTAACTCTTTTATTTGGCTGAATAATAATCCACTGTGTATATATTCCTTACCCATTTTTCTGTGGATGGGCATCCAGGCTGATTCCAGAGTTGAGCTGTTGCGGCTTGTGATGCTGTAAACATGGGTGCACCTGTATCACCATAGTTTGAAATCTATCTATCTAGGAGAAGTATAGCCAGACTAAATGGAATTTCTATTTTAGTTTCTTGAAGAATCTCCATACTGGTATCTGTAGTGGTTGTTCTAGTTTATATTCTCACCAACAATTTAGAAGAATTCCTTTTCCCCCGCATCCTCATCGGCACTGGATTTTTGTGCTTGTGGAAGCCATCCTGAGTGGAGTAAGATGGAATCTCAGAGTTGTTTGGATTTGCATTTCCCCAGTGACTAAAGATGACACCTTTTTGTGTACTTATCAGCCAACTGTACTTCTTTGAAGCATCTGTGTAGTTCATTTGCCCATTTTTTGATTGGATCCTTTGAGGGAGGTTACTTTTTGAGTTCTTCTAGGTACGTATTAGTCCTATTGGAGGAGTACTTGGAAAACTGTTCTCTCCATTTTGTCAGTTGTCTCTTCACTCTGGAGCACTTCCTTTGCTTTTTAATTTAATATAATCTCATCTGTTGATTCTTGATATTATTTCCTATGCTATTGGAGTTGGTTCAGGAAGTCCTTGCCTATTCCAGCATTTTCACTGTTTTTATATGTCTAGGTCTTTGCTTCATTGACCTGACTTTTGCGCGGAGTGATGTATAAGGATCTAGTTTCAGTCTCCTGCATGTGGATAGTCAGTTTTCCCAGCACCATTTTTGAAGAGGCTCTCTTTTCTCCACCATATGTGTTTGGCCCCTTTGTCAAATATCAGATGGCTAAAAGTGCATGGGGTTGTTTCTGTGTCTTTTATTCTGTTCCCTGGGTCTACATACGTATTTTTGTGCCTGTACCATGGTATTTTTTTTTACTATTGCTTTATCGTATAACACAGAATCCATAATCATGATGTCTCCTGCTTTGCTTTTTTACTGAGGATTGCTTGGGCTATTCTGGATCTCTTCTGGTTCTTTACAAATTTTACAATTGTTTCTCCCAGTTCTCTGAAAAAGTTGTTGGTATTTTTCATAGGGATATAGTAAATCTATGTATCACTTTTGGTAATATGACCATTTTAATGATATTAATCCTACCTGCCCAGCTGCTCCCCCAGTCAACAGATACATCCTTTTAATTTAGAACTTTTTATGATACTGACTCCAGACATTGAATGCACTGTATAAACTTGTGAAATATGAATTGAGTGTAGGTTAAATCAATTAGGTTTGCATACATAGTGACGTACTTCCCACACATTAAAACCAATGACGCGTAAGTGAAGTCCTTCTGCATCACGAGACCTGTGACGTGTGGAAATGTTGGTTTAGGTCCTGAATGACCAGCTGACAAGAAAGTGTTCCGAGCTGAGCAGCATGCTGCAGACCGCCAGTGTGGAGAAGGCCAGGCTCATCGCTGATCACCAGGCCATGCTGCAGGTACTCACAGGGCACTAGTGGACTTCTGATGGGGCAGCAGGGAGCCAGGCTGGCTGAGGGGATCAGGAAAGGTACACAGCCACCTGGGCAAATAGAACACTTCAATAGCAGATTCCAGAACTTCACTGAATTACGTTACGTTTTGATTTTAGTAGTTTTCATTTGTCATCGTAGGGGTGTGTATTTGGCCTTATACTCGGTGCTTTCTATGGTTTCTTCTCAAATATCATTACATTAGGAAAAGTAACTACTTGTCCTGTTATTTACAGATCACGTGTAACTGACTCTAACGCACTACTGTCTCCCCAGACACCGGGGAGTTCCCATTTGGCTTATGCCGTTCTCTCTGCTGAGAATGCTCTCCACTTTTATCTCCAGCTATTTGAAATTCTGCTAAGACTGACTTTGATCAGAGAGCTTGATCTTTCCAAGCCATAAGGGATGTTTCCCTTTTCAAGTTCTATTCCTTGGACACTAAACTATCATAAAAATAGTGCTGTGTTTACTTTTTTAGCATATACCATCCACTGTGCTAAGGATTTTACATATGTTACCCTCCTGAACATGTTTGCACTGGCTTGAACCACTGGTGTTACATACATGACTGTCCCATCAGGCAGTATCATTGGATGGTACAAGCTGCCCAGTGGGACAGTGATGCATGTACCCTGGTGGTTCAGAGCCACCTGGCAGCAAGACATGAATTACAGCTTCATTGTGAATTGTTAATCACAGCACCTGCTGTATAAAAGAATCTTTATTATCCTCATTGACCAATAAGAACAATGAAGGTTGGAGGTACTTGCTAATCTAAGCAGTGAAGTCCTCCTTACCTAACCAGCAGGGAGGAGAGCTGGATCTCATCTAGGTCTGAGCCACTGTGATGATGTGTGCCCAGAAGCCTGAGGCAGGTGGGTCACTGAGTTCAGGAGTTCAAGACCAGCTGGGGCAATGTACTGACCCCACCTCAAAAAATGAAACAAAGCAGAACAACGAAAAATAAGCCTCGGTCTGACTTCAGAGCCAGTGTTTTTTACCATTACATTGTGCTGCCTCTTTATTGTGCATTCTCTAGTAATAATTGATGTTCATGATTTATTTTTGTCTTAAATTGTGAACTGCTCAAAGCAAACTTATTATTGTATGGACCTATTATTTCCCCACAGTGTTAAATATGTTTTGTGCATAAAAATACTCAATACTTTTTATTAATTCAACAGTGTTTATCCTGTCCAAATATGATGTTCAATCTAGGTAGAATTATAGGTGCAAATGAGACAAAATCTCTATTTTTATGGACCTAAAGAATAATGTAATACATGTAACACTGTCACAAGTATTTCAAATTTTTGAAATAGAATGCAAGTAGTATCCCATTTTATAAGTGTACAGGTATGAAGCTTTATTTTGCAATCAAATATCATTAAAATAGAAGCATTTTAAAACATATTTGCAAAAATAACTGTTAATATGTGTGTGTTTGCAAAAACTTTTAAGATTGTAGGTAAAAGTATGTGTGTGCGTGTCTGTGTGTGTGTGTAAAAATGTTATCTCAGGCAATAAAAAGGGGCTAGGGATATAATTCAGTAAGAAGGCCCTGGGTTCAATCCTTAATACCAGAAAAAAAAAGTTTTGGTAACTCCAAAATGATGACCCACAGAAAATAAAATTGTGGAAAACATTTACAATTCTATTGCTGTAACAGTATCTCAGTACAATCGGAGATACTTTCAAAAGAATTCACTGTTAAACTATTAAATGATTAATACTAGGGAATGGGATTGGAGGGCGGGGAAGACAGAGATGAAGAGATCTTTTTATCTGATGCTTAGATACATTAAGACTGTTTAAGCTTTTAAAATAAATGACCATATTGAAATTTTAATATACCGAAAGTATCCTTAATATAATTTTTAATCTTTAAAAATATATTCATATTAGGAGCTTACCCAGAAGCCTGAGTAAATATAATACCTCTTGACTGTTGGCCAGTGGAACTATAAAATGATACAACTGGAGTCACGCCGGCAGGAACAAAGAGAAGCTAGGCATTAAAATACACTTAAAAATTGTATTAAGTCAGTCCATGGCTTTGATGGGTTGCTCTGAGTAACACCGTGTCAGACGGCTTCTCAGCTTTCGCTGTTACTCCTGACACTCAGGTGGAGCAGAAGATGATGACTCAGACTTTCCAGGAGCAAAGCCTGCTGCTGGATGCAGCCCACGCCAGCATCACAGGCGAGCTGCAGGCCGTTCAGAATGAGAAGACGCAACTCCAGGCTCATCTGTAAGTAAACCACGGCTGCTACCTATGCACCTTTTGTTCTTGCATTTGTATTTCTCACTTTTAATGAAAACATTTATTTCACCTTGGCTAGGCCAGCTACAAAGATGAGGATTCTGCCTTCAAGCAGCTAGTTTGGTAGAACATTTATAAGGGCTCTGTGTAGGACTTAGTCATGTGTTCTCTAACAACGTTTAATCGCTCTTCCTGCTAAATGAGAGCTCTCATTTGACTTTCATCTTTCCCAACTCTCTTCCTGAAGGGACCATCTGACCCTTGAGCATAACCAGTGTGTGCAAAAAGCCCAGGATGCTGAGAAGAGGACGGCGGTGCAGAAGGAGCTTCTGGAAGCCACCATCGCAAGGCTGCGAAGTGAGCTGGAAGCATCGGTGCAGGAGAAGAAGTCCCTGCTGGAGGAGAACAAAAGATTCCAGAGAGAGGTGGGTAGAGGCAGATTTACACTGCCTTCTCACTGAGGTGCGAGGGTGATGTTTGCACTTACGCTCTCAGTAGAGTTTCACGACCAGAAGTTAAACCAGATGTAGTTTGTCTGAGTTTCCCATTAAGAACTCCTAGGTGGCTAATGTGTCCCTTTGAACATGGCAAGCAGCCTGTGACAGGTAGAGCAGTGTGCGCTGACACGGCACTGGTGTCAGCGAGTATTCACACCTCCTCCTGTTAGTCAAGGTCACATTTTAAAAGTTGACATCCTCCTGAGAGGGAAGCGCTGGAGATTGGGCGTGCAGCCCTGTCTTCCTAGCGAGGAAGGAGCTGGGAGTCTGACTGCAGAGGTGTGTCCGATTGCAGGGCTGTCTGTGCAGCCTCCTGGGCCTCAGATGCCCTGCCTGGCACCTTTGCCAGGAGGAGTACAAGGCGTGGTGTAGGTGTGAAAGCCACACGGGCCGAGTGTGCTCAGGAGAGCCTGTCAGCTACTGTGAACTGACCCATTTCTTTTTCTCTCCCTTGAGCAGGCTAAAAAGACAGAAAAAGAAATAGTACAAGAAAAATGCGCTTTGGAAAAGGAACTAGCTAAAAACAAGGTACTCCGCGTTTCATTTGTAGACGTTTGATGTGTTTTGTTTCCCTGTGTGTCGCTGCCTGCTCCACTGCTTGTCTTCATGAGCGACGGTGCTTGTCTCAGGGCTGCCAGACACTGTGCACAGACGCTTCTGGGGCCCCTGTGGGAGAGGTGTGGGGGTGCCAGGGAGTTCTCACGGCCTCGGCCCTAGTGCACGCTGAGAGTGTCAGCCAGGAGCCTGCGGAGAGGGAGCCAGCGGGCAGGGGGCAGGAAGAGCGGTGATTTCTAACCCTGGTGATTTAAAAAAAAAAAAAAAACTTTTAGCCAAACATGGTGGCACAAACTAGTTAGGCAGCTGAGGCGGATCATCACGGTTTCAAGGGCAGCCCAGCCAACTGTCTTAGTTACTTTTTGTTGTTGTTGCTGGCCCAAAACACCGGCACCCAAAGTTAAGGAAGGAAAGGCTTGTTTAGCTCACAGTCTGTGGAGGTTTCGGTGTGTGATCAGCTGGCTCCAAGGCAGCGTGGCAGGGCACAGGGCAACAGTCCAGAGTGGCAGGAGACAGCAAAAGCAGCAAGAGCACAAGCGGGGGGCGGGGGGGGGAGCAAGCCTGTTTTTTACCCTTATATTGTAAGCTCGCTACCACCCCTGGGGCGGCTGTAGCATTCACAGAATCCCCTTGCCCTCTTGCACAGGATGAGGATGTTTACAAAGTAAGGACCCTGGCTCCCTGCTGAGTCTCTTAGTTAACCTTTTAAACTTTTGGAGTCGGCACAATGAACAGCATCTTACAGTGGTGAGGGCGTGTCCTTTTCACCCCAGGATGTAGAACTGCTGAGTTACTTAGTTAGGCTTCTGGACTCCTCAAGTTGACACTTGGTATCAACCGGAACAGCAGCTTAGCTAGGCTCTGTCTCAACATAAAATACAAAGGGCTGGGAAGGTAGGTCGGTCCTGCAGTGCCCAGGGTTTGGTCCCCGGTACCGGTACCGGTACTGCAGGAAGGGGAGGCTGTCAGGCTGCCTATCCTAAGTGCACATGAGCACCTGCTACTTGATCTTAGAGGTAAACTTTTCTCTCTTTTAAATTTTTACAAAACTGAGACATGGCTGGGCGTGGTAGCACCTGTAACCCCACTGCTTAGGAGGCTGGGGCAGGAGGATTACCCTCAGTTCAAGGCCAGCCTGGGCTACATAGTGAGTTTAAGACCAACCTGAATTACAGAGTGAGACCTTGTCTGAAAAAAAAAAAGCCCTGCAACGTAGTATTTGTTGATCTTTTTGGGTATACTGTGATAATTCCATACATGTCTACCATGTCATGATCAAGTCAGAGAAGTGAACACTTCCATCTCCCCACATTAGTCAGGGTTAGCTGGCGGGAAAAGCGTACTGTCTCTAGACATTTGGAAGTGCAGGTGGTTTTAACCAGTAGCTCCCCTTCCCACTAGAAAACTGTGGAACACGCGCTGTTTCTGCCTTCCGTCCGCCTCTTGTTCCCAGGCTCTGTGGACCGCTGTTCCGCTCTGTGCTTCTAGGGGTGAGGACGAGCGGTACTTGCCGCGTGCTCAGAGGTGTTGTTGGACACAGGGAACTCCAGTTCCATCCATGTCGCTGCAGAGGATGGGACAATAGTCCACTGTATTTATGTGCTACATTGTCTGCTCGCCTGCTGCTGAGGATCTAGGTTCCGTCCACACCTTACTCATCTTGAATAGCACCGTACTAAACATGGAGGTGCAGCAGCCTCCGGCATAATGATTTCATCCCCTTTGGATTTGTGCCCAGGGGTGGAATTGCTGATCACCTGGCAGTTCTACTTTCAGCCTTCAAAGTAGTTTTCATATTTTTAGTTTTCAAAAGAAGCTTCATACCCTTTTCCACAGTGGCTGCGCTAGTTCACATTCCCACCAGTGGTGCATAAGGGTTCTCTTTTCTCTGCATCCTTGCCAGTAGTTTTGTCTTTTTGATGATAACCATTGTAACTGGGGCAAAATGAAACCTTACAGTTTTGATTTGCCTTTTTAATTGGATTTTTTTTTTCTTTTTTCTTTTTTTTTTTGGTACCGGGAATCAAACTCACAACCTCACACTTGCTAGGCAGGTGCTGTGCTGCTGAGCTAAATCCCTGACCCTTTAATTGGATATTTAATATTTAATTGGATATTTTTGATGATTAGTTTTTTAAATTCTTGTTTTTATGGAACCGGGAATCAAACTGAGGACATCACGTTTGCCAGGCAGGCGCTGTGCTGCTGTGCTATATCCCTAGCCCCGTTAAATTCCTTTTATATTCTGGACATTAATCCCTTGTCATAGAAATAGTTTGCAAATATTTCCTACTATTCTGTGGGTCATCTCTTACCTCCTGTTATTTTTCTTCGCTGTGCCAAAGCTGCTTAGTTTGATGTAATCCAATTATGTTTTTACTTTTGTTGCTGGTGACTTGAGGGTCCTCCCAAAATGTCTTTGCCTACACCAGTGGTTTTTTTTTAAATTTTATGAAAAATAAGATTTCATAAAACAACAGTAGTTATTATACTGTGTATCATTGTCTTCAAAGTAGTTACTCAGCGCAAGACATAAATCAAAAAGATTCTTACAAAAAAGAAACAGTAACACAAATCTTTCTTTTCAATGAACTAAGACAGACTAGTAATATAAATGATACCCATGTCTTGAAATATTTTCTCTATATTTTCATATATGTTTTTCCATAGAAGAGAAACCATGCAATGTTTGAGGTTGTTTGTCTTGATTTATTTCAGTTAGCATTATTTTCTCAAGTTGTATCCATTTTCCCGTGTCTTGAAAGCAACTCAAAATGGGTCAAAGAACTAAATATAGAACCTGAAGCAGTTTTTGAAAGGATCTGCACAAACTTGCATCCCCACCAGTAACTGATGAGTTCGGGGTCTCTGTGTTTTCACCGACATGTGGTACTGTCATTTCTTATTTAGCCATTGTGGTTGTGATAATGCTATGTCATCATAGTTGTAATTTGTTTTCTAATGACCAGAATTTTGAGCATCTTTTCATGTGCTCATTTGCCACTGTAAATTAAAGTATCTCTTCAAACCATCTTTTAAAATTATACAGGCGTTTTGTATTCAGAAAGGACAGCTCAATCAAGGCATATGTACTTGTAAAAATCTTTGAAAGGCTACAAAGCCTCTGGAAAATACACAGAATGTATTTCTTAAGCCCAGATAAGAACATGGAAAGACGTCATTGATGTCAATCATGTTACATCTACAAACCTGGCCTGGTTTATTTTTAAACAACTTTTTTTTTTTGGTACCGGGAATCAAACTCATGACCTTGGGTTTGCAAGGCAGGTGCTGTGCTATATCCCCAGCCCTTAAACTTCTTTATATAAAAAAATCATGCCAACATAACTATTTTCAGGATTCATAAGGGCTTCTTTAATAACAATACTCAACTTAGATGAAGTGAAAAATGCCTATTACTTAGACATTTCAAGGAACTCAGAACTAATGTGAAACAGAAATTTGAACTTTTTTCATTCCTCTGTATCAAATCAAGGAAAAATTATCTTAAGAAATTTATGACATCAGGATGAAAAGGTATAGGCTTATCTTTAGTTCAAATTTGACTAAACTTTTTTATATCCTCAAAAGGACCTTTGCCAGTTTTGAAATAAAAGAACCTATAACAGGTAGAATTATGAAATCTTATTTCTTTAAGTTACAAATTCATATTTTCATAATTAAACCAATTGGTTCCAACCTGTTAAGGTTACCCGTCAACCCTGAAATTTTTAATCATACCGGAATTACTCCAAAGAAAGTAAAATAGGTTTCAAATTTAGTCATTTGTGTTTTCAAGTTCTTCTGATTTTCCATGTGACATTGCTTCTTAGAAGAAGAACCTGGACTTTCCTTCCTGTTGCTGTTTACCCTTCATTTTTTGACAGGTCTCACTTTTTCCATCAAAATCAATTTCATTTCTTACAGTCATGTGATGGAATTTGGGTCAGTGGTCAGGTCATCTGCTCCACAGCCGTTGCTGTCCGTCTCTGTGTGAAGTGGTCTCTCTCCCCTATGGGCCCATTCACACGCAGCCCTTCTTCACCTTTTCCTCCTCCTTTGTTTTCTTCTTTTGTTTCTTTTGCTGTGATTTCTTTGCCCAGCAAATGCAGGGTTTTTTTGTACTGGGATTTGAACTCACAACCTCACGCTTGCCAGGCAGGTGCTGTGCCACTGAGCTCTATCCCCAGTCCCGACCTCCTTCTTTATTTACTGTGTCTCCTGGTCCCGTAGGTGACACCCATCTGGGAGCCCATGCGCCGTCGTCCTCCTCAGACCATCGGTAGCTACTGTTGGAGGTCAGGGGTGGGGACGTGCATGACGGCAAGCACGCTCTCACTTCTTCAGAAGACAGTCAGTGCAATCCGCTACACCAGGATGAAGGTTTTATTTCCTTTTTTCCAAATCATGGGGCTGGGGATATAGCTCAGCAGCACAGCACCTGCCTGGCAAGCGTGAGGCCCTGAATTCGATTCCCAGTACCAAAAAACAAAGTTGCATTTCCTGAGCAAAGAAATCATAACATTCAGACTTTTTCCGCATATAATAGAATGCTATACATTCCCCAGCTGGTATTGTGCACACTTTATTAGCCTGAATCAAATGAAAATCTTTTCCATAGGCCTTCGGCCCTTATCCAGAATTCCTGCACTCTTCTTCTATCCAAATCGTTTCTCTCTAGCTGCTTTTCCATTAAATTGTGAGCTTCTCAGTGCTTCTTCTGTATCAAAATTGTGCTCAACCAAGTCCTACAAACCCTGTTCGTTGCCTTCAATGTGAGACCCTTCAGGAACTGCTTCTCCACCTTTCTCGTCACCTGTCCTGGATGCACCCTTAGGAAACACAGCCACTTGTCTTCTGCTAAGTACTCAGGATCCCAGGAGCTGGTCATCATCGTAATACACTTTCTCATGGTCTTTGTATCTACACATGCCACCCGGAATCTCTGCTTGAAGCATGGAGCCCGCCATAATTTCTTTTCCCAGTGTTTTGATGGAACATAATCTTTATCTTCTTCAGATTCTTTTATTACACTGTTTGTATCAAAATATTTACATTGATGTGGTTGGATTATTTCCTCAGACCATTTTTAATTCAGTTGTTTTTTACTGAGTTTTCAGAAATTTAAAAACATTCTCATATGAACTAAAACTACTTTATCTGTATACATAACTTTTGTCAAATACATGTCTTATGGATATCTTCCTAAATTTTAAGCCTTTTTGTTTTCCTTTGGAGAACAGGTTTTTGGGGATTTATTTTTCAATTTTTCATTTTTATGAAGCCTAATTATCAGTTTACCTTTCATAGGTCAATCATACTTTTTGTATTATATCTAAGAAATTTTGCCTAACCTACGATTACCAAGGTTTTCTTCTGTATTCTGCTCTAGAAATCTTGCCAGGAGTGGTGGCATACGCCTGTAATCCCAACACTCGGGAGGCTGAGACAGGAGAGTTGCTGTGAATTTGAGACCAGCCTGGGCTACAAAGTGAGCTCAAGGCCAGCCTGAACTGCATAGTGAGACCCTGTCTCAAAAAGACAAAAAAACAAAAGAACAGGAAGTCTTCTAATTTTATATTAGGTCTATGATCCTTTTTAACTAATTTTAGTATATCATGTAAGGTATAGTTTAACATTCATTTTATTTTCTGGTGCACATCTGATTGTTCTGATACTGTTTAAAATCTGTCAATTGATGGACATTCAGATTGTTTCCACTTTTTGGAGAGAAATAATTCAGTGACCATTTGTGTTCAGTATTTTTGTGAACGTGTTTTCAGTTACCAGGTGGATCACATGCGTGGAATTACTGGCTCGCATGCTAACTCTATCATTATGAAAAGCTGCAAACCATTTCCCAAAGTCCCAAACGATTTTGTAGTCTCCCACAACGTGTGGGAGTTTCTGTGTCTCCACAGTCTCACCAGTGCTTGCATTGTCCACGTTTTTATCTCTAAGATAAACAGTTCAGTGGCGTGGTTGAGCTCAGCAGTTCCCTCCTGGGCATGGAAGGTGACTGGATCGTGGGGCACACTACTCACCGGTGGGTTTCTCCACGGATGAGGGCGGCACCTGACCGTGCTGCCAGGCGGTGTACCTGAGTGGAGGTGGGTGACCTGGGCGCACGCTGGGAGGGTGGCACTCGCTCCGAGCTCCTCCCTTCTCTCTGCTTCCTGGCTGGCCGAGATGTGCAGCTGCCCAATCTCCAGGCCCTGGCCCCATGCATTTCCTCTTGGAGCCAGCTGACCAGGGACTGAATCTTGAGCCAGAGTACATCCTCCTTTGAGTTGGGAGTTTGGGGTAGTTGGGTCCAGTGACTAGCACAGTGCTCCTCACACTGTGCAGCTAGCACCATTTAGTTCCAAACCTTTTTCTTTTTTGAGTCAATCTCACTCCATAGTTCATGCTGGCCTTGAACTCACTACATGGCCCAGGCTGGCCTAAAACTCACAACAGTCCTCCTGCCTCAACCTCCCAAGTGCTGAGATTATAGGCATGTGCCACGAGAACATTTCTATCAGTCTAACAGAAGACTGGACCCGTTAAACAATCACTCTCCCTTCCTCCCTTCTCCTAGCCCATGACAACCACCAGTCTGCATTCTGTCTGTGAATTTACTTGTTTTGGGTATTTCATGTAAGTAGAGTCACATAAAACGTGATCTTTTATGTCTGGCCTCTTCAAGTGTAGCATATTGTTTTTGAGTTTTTTCCACCCTTCTTATTATGTTTCAGCCCCCCCATCTCTTACTTCCTTCCTCATTTGTAAAAGATTTATCTCCTATTGCCTATTACAACCTTTTAATTTGCTCTTTAAATTATTTATACGTTAGGTTTCTCATGTAAGAACTTTGTGATATTTAAGCTTGTGTGTCTGATTTATTTGTTATTATGATCTCAAAATACATCCATCTTCCTACAAATACCTCAAACTTATACTTCTTTGTGGCAGAATAGTAGTCTATTGTGTATAAATACTACATTTTCTTTATCCATTCATCTGTTGGTGGACATATGGGCTGCTTCCAAGATTTAGCTGTTGTGTGAATTGTGCTGCTATAAACATGAGTATGACTGTATCACTGTAATATCTTGTCTTCCACTCTTTTGAGAAGGTACCCAAAATGGAAATAGCTGGGTCAAGTGGAATTTCTATTTTTAGTTTTTTGAGGAATCTTCATACTGACTTCCATAGTGGTTGTACTAATTTACATTCCCACCAATAGTTTATAAGGGTTCTTTTTTGCCTACTGCTTTGCCAACATTTGCTATTGGTTTCTTAATGATGGCTATTCTTTCAGGAGTGAGACAAGACTCTCGGTGTTCTTTTAATTTGCATTTTTCTAATGGCTAAAAACATTGAACACTTTCATGTAATTATTGGCCATTTGTAATTGGCCATTACATTTCATGTAATTATTGGTCCTTCTTCTGAGAAGTGTCTGTTCATTTCATTTACCCATTTTTTGACTGGGTCTTTCATGTGAGGTTCTAACTTTTTTGAGTTCCTTATGTATTCTAGATGTTAGTCCTCTGTCCAAGGGGTAGCTAGCGGATCTTTTTCTCTCTCTTGGGTTGTTTCTTTACTCTGTTGTCAGTGTTATTTCTTGCTCAGTTGAGGTTCTGTTCAGAAGGTCTTTGCCTATGCTTGTGTCTTCAACAGGTATGTGTATTTTATCTTCCAGCAGATTGTTTCTGTTTAATATTTAGGTCTTTGATTCATTTTAACTTTATTTTAGAACATAGTGAGGGAGATGGGTCTAGATTCATTCTCTGGCATGTGTATTGTGGAGGGGCTGTCTTTTCTCTGATGAATTTTTCTGGCTCTGTCAAACATCAGATGCTGACCTGCCTGGAGTTGTTTCTGCATCCTCTGTTCTGTTCCATTGATCCTCTGGTCTGCTTTTGTGCCAGTACCACACTGTTTTTGTCACTGTAGCTTTGTAATGTAACTTGAAATCTGGGTTTGTGATGCCTCCTGCTTTGCTCTTGTTGCCCGCACTTTCTTTTCATACTCTCTCTTCTGACTTCATATGAGTTTTAGGGTTGCTTCTCTAGTTCTGTGAGGAATGCCGTTGATATTATGCTTGAGGTTGCATTAAATCTGTGTATCGGTTTGGGGAAGTATGGCCATTTTGAATACATTAATTCTGCCTATCTTTTTCCAGGAACGCAGATTTCTTTCCATTTGCTGATATCCTCTTCCGTGTGCTCTTCCAGAGCCTATAGTTTTTCTCACAGAGGCCCATGGTCAGTCACATGGCTCCATGCTTCTGGGCCATGTGAGGCACAGCATCGCGATGGGGAACATGTGGTGGAGCAGAGAGGAGACAGTGACGGAGGGAGGGGAGCTCGGCATGAGATGAAATGCCCAGCGGCAGGACCCCACAGCTGCAGCCTTCACTGGGCCACCTCTGCATAACCCACCAGTGTGGGCCTCAGTGACGGTGCATGGTGTTCTGACCTACCGAAGGCCCATCCGCTGGCTACCAAGCCCCAGCACCTGGCCTCGGGGACATTCCCGATCCAGAGCACAATATGTCTGCATCGTACTAGATAGGAGTAACCTAGAGATAGCACAAAGTCTGCTGGAGGGTGCGGTGGGTCATACTGACTGACAGTGAAAACTGCAGCTTTACCCAGAGAAGCGGTACTTCGCTCTTCCACCTCTTCGTGTGCTGCCGCACTCATCGTGTCAGGGCTTTGTGGAGGACTTTCGCATCTGTATTTAAGCTTTAATTACTATTCAAACAAATACCAAGTACCAGAACAACTTCCGCTGTTATTAAAGGTGAACCGTGTATCTTGTAGTAACTGAAGACAGCTAGAAAATCTGAAAAATAATTAGAGTATTATAGTTACTGGACTCGTCAAGTCCCCACACTAGAAGCCGGGGAACATGTACATGAGCTACATTCCGGCATACAGTTTCAGCTGTCATCCTGAGAATGAGATGATACAGTTTTGGATCTGACAAATTATTTTCCACCTTTTTTTTTTCAAAGGTAGATGTGAACACCTTAAATGAAAATCTGCAGACACTAGTGGACGAAAATAAGCAGCTTGCAGATCAAATGGCTTCCCTTGGACTGCAGCAAGACGCTCCCGACTACCATGGGGTGGGTATAAAAAGGTCAGTCTAAAGGAGGAGATAACAGCTAATGAATTTTTTTAAAAACAGAAGTCAGGAGAGAGGTTTCGTTTGTGCGATCCTAAGTTCTTTGTTATCATAACTCGGAATAAATATGGCAGAGCTCCCTTCAGTACTCAAACGAGAGATTTAGGAAATCAAGTTTGAGGCAGCTATGGAATGGTGGCCTACACAGATGATCTTTGATACTGAAAAGCAAAGTTATATCTGATGTTTTGAAGTATTTCTTTTTCCATAAATTATGAGGAAGAAACTTCGATGTTCTTCTCCTGTCATTTCCCTCCAGTAGGCAATTAGTAATATGTCTGATTTCTAAAAGCTGTCTTGACAAGGTCCCTGAATTACACATAAAGTTAAAATTCATAAAATATCTCCAAGTGAAGGGGATTTAAAGAAATGATCATTCTATTAAGAAGCCAATAATTTTCCTGTGTGTGTTAATACTTGAAAAAATTAGTTATTGCTTGTGTAACATGCAAACAATTTTTGAAAATTCCACAGAAGATCTTGATGTGAGTCTTTCTTAATCTCATCTAAATCCTTTCAAACCCTGCCCTAAATTGTTTGTTACTTCAGCTATGAAGAATTACACAAACTATTCTAAATCTTATCTCTTCATGGCTTTGAAGCCAGATTGTCTAAGTTTCAGTTTTGGCTGTGACCTTAGATATGGTCTTCAACCTCTGAGAGCCTCGGGTTCTTAATCTGTCAACATGAGGATAACAGTACTACTACTGCGAGGAAGTAGTTACTACATGCAGATCTGCTACATGGAGCAGATAGCTACTGTGTGTTGACTCTTAGTACCTGAACCAGGGGCAGGGACTGTAAGTGCCTGCGGGAATGACAAGCTGCACTAGCAGTGATTCCTAGGATGACCTCAGACCACCCCTGTCTACCCCAGGGTGAAAGACAACCATACCCTTTGCCTGCTGTCCAGGCCTCAGCTGGGCTGACCTAACTTAACTAGCCAGTTTGCGTGCCTGTGGGAGGCCGCATCTCAATCTATTTGAGTCTTTCTCGGATCCACTGCCGTGCGCAGTGGCTTGGCTTTACCCCAGTGGTGACACTGACAGATCTCAACTGGTCGGTGGTGACTCTGGCACGCGTACCCTGCCTCGGATTAAAATCTCCAGACAACTCACACCTCAGTTCTGGTTTGCCGTTCTGTCTCCACCTACGAGCTTCTCTACCAAGCCAACCTGGGGTGCTTTTAGTTGGCTGTGAGTCTGAGGAATAAGGCTGAGTCCCGGACTTGTTTTTCACTTTACTAACAGCGCTAAACCTGTTGCCATTCAGTGCTGGTGGTGCATTTTTGTTCTTTCCAAGTCAACACTTGAATTCTTAAGGTATGCCCCCTAGGGTAAACTCTGGTTGGTTTTTGGAGAGATACGTGTGGGAGGCCTTACACAAATAACCTCACGGACTTGAGTTCCAGCAGACCTGCTTTCAACCCACGGCTCCATCTGCCCTGAGGCCTGGGTGGGTTCTTACCCTAAACTTTTAGGTTTATCTTTTGCCTGTAGGGAACCACAGGGAGAGAAGATCCACAAGTAGGGAGATTACCATTTCTGACTTCAAGCAGAGTGACTTTTCCAGTTCTCTTTCAAGTTTTCAACATACATTTAAACAGTAGCACCAAGCAAATATAATTCCCTGTGCAACTGGGCCTTGAATGACTTGAAGTTAAACAATGATTAAATGAGTTGTTTCTTAAAGGACGACATTCAGTCAGTATATACCTGCGCACGTGTCAAGCTTGGTTCAGTCTGCCAGGCCCATGTCAAATTGGATAAAATCCCCATTCACCTTCTCCTTATAAAATAACCACCCAGATGCCAGTATCTCACTGGTTTTATATGTTCTTCTGAGAGCCTGTGTCATTAAGCTCCAAAGTTATTTTAGGGCTGGAACCTGCCTCAGTGGCGTGGCTTGCCCATCATGCGTAAGGTCCTGGGCTCACACCCTGATAACACAAACATAGAAAAAAGAAAGCATTGTTTTGAAGCATTACGCGGCTGTTTGTGTTAGCTTTCGGTCCCTGTGGTTAGGTACCTCAGATAATCAGAGCAGGCGAGACCTGCCTTGGCCTGTAGGTTTGGAGGTTGCAGTGCCCTGTCTGTGTGACACCCCCTGCTCTGGGGCCTGTGAGGAGGAAGGAGTGCACGGTGTGGCCTGGAGCTGCTCACCTCAGGGCCAGTGGAAAGACAGGAGCAGAAAAGGGCAGGGTCCCAGGGCCCCCGCTCAGAGGGCCCACCCCCAGCGACCTCGCCGCCTTCACTAGGCACCGCCCCAGAGGTCCCAGCCTTGCCCAGCGAGCACCGAGGCTGGCAATCCGGTCCCAGCTGGAGCACTGCTGATCCCTGCCAGCCAGCCTTTCGTGTCTTACAGCAGTTCTTCCCGTAGTGGCTTTCTGCTCCTTGTGTTTCTGAGTTGTTTTCTATATTAATAATCTTCATAGTCATTTGCCAAGGTTATTTAAGCAAAGGTTAATCTCAGTTCTGTTTCCACCAATTGGAGCCCGGGATTTTCACTTACTTAAGTGCCTTCTAATATCTACTCTTCTCGTGACTAAAACACAAGGTCCCCTTAAGTCTGTAAACAGGAACTGAAGTGCCTTAATGTCTACTTTCCCTTGGCAACTCTCAACAACTCTCTTTGCTTGTCACAATGTTTAATGACCCTGTGTCAAATATTATCACATTCTGATTTTACTTACTGTTTTCTCTTACTGCATTAGCATTCGCTTTGTTGGCAAAAAGGGGAAATTATTATTTAAAAGGTGTATTTAACAAATTAATAGAATTTCTTTATGCTTTTGCCTAAAGAAGGAGTTTTATTGAGGAAAAAAATATGCTATTATTTTTTAAAAACTTCTGAACAACTTTTATAAGAGACCCAGACTAAGTTTTTCTAACAAACAAACCACCTTTCCACATTATAAGCAGATAAGCACAGTCACCTTTGAATGTTTAATATTTGTTAATGCTAGCATAATTAGGTTAAATCTGGTTCTTTGTTTTAGCATCCTGTACATATACTTTATAGCACATAGGGACACCTTAATTTATAGAACTTGGAACTAAATTTTAAGTAAATAAGCTTTCGGTGTTGTCGTAGCTTTGTTTTACAGCAGTTTTTGCTGACCTCTTGGGTTTTTTGTGTTGTTGCTGACGGCTTGACGAAATATAAAGAGGATATTACCACGTTAAGTGGAATAAGCTTGCCTCAGAAGTCACTGCGTATTTTCTGTCACATATGGCGCGGGTAGAGCGGGAAAAAGGAGAGGTGATAGGAAAGCTGAAGGAAGGCTGCTGGAGATGAGAGGGGAGGAGGTAGAGAATGTAATGAGGGAATAAAAATAATCAAAATACGGTATATGCTTGTGCCTATCTGCCTTACGGAAACCCATTATTTTGAATGACTGTTGTATACTAATGAAACCATATGCACCAAACTACAGTGTGTCAGTCATGGATGATTTAGCATCATGTCTAAATAGAAAACACCTTGGGAAAGGGGCTATGTATCTTTCACAGTCAGAATATTAGTAATTTTATGATAATGTGTTATCCCTAGTCCACTGCTAATAATAGTCTCTACTCACCTGGGTCATTTCAAAAGCAGTATTTTACTGGTCTAAGTGCTTTCAGAAAAACACTTTCCTAGCTGAGTGTGGTGGCACACGCCTGTAATCTTAGCACTCAGGAGGCTGAGGCAGGAAGACCACAAGTTGAAGGCCATTGACAAAACTGTAAAGAGGGTACCATCATGTTAAGTGAAATAAGCCAGACTCAGAAGTCATAATGCATATTTTCTCTCATATTTATATGGGGGGGACTGTGCAGTGAGTTCAGGGTCTGAACAACATAGCAAGATCCTGTCTTAAACAGCCAAAAAAAAAAAAAAAAAAAAACAAGAAGAAAAAGAAAAACACTTTCCTTTACCTTAGTAGAAAAACATAATGACTTTTTTAAAAACAGAGCCATATAATAAGCTCGGAACGGGCTTTTGCTTTCGGGGTCACAACACGAAATAAAGTGCACTGCACAGAGGTGACTGAGGGGGAGCTGTAACTGCTGGGGACAGAGGAGAACGTCCTCGTGTGCACCGTGCGCCGGGTGTGTGGCGTCGTCTTCATCCCGCTGCCCAGGGTAAAACAGCGAGCAAGAGCTGATACTTTGGCCTGAAACTCCTTCACAAGCATCCCATCTTAGTATCCACAGATTAACCAGAATGAGCCAGAGAGTTATGTCCGCACACAGCATCTGCCAACATAAGTGAGGCCGTGAGCTCACGGTTTGCTGCAGACGATCCGTGGTGCCGCTCCTCAGCCTGAGCGACAGATCTCGGGCTCCTGGTCACATTTGCTTTGTGTCTGGTATCCCCACTCTTGGTTCATGGAGGTCATTTGGGAGACGGCAGATACCAGGCCTCCTGGTACTAAGACCCGACGCTGACAGTGAAGGGGAGGGTGCTGAGTTCCGTGTTCAGTCACTAATAGTGGCCCTCGTGTAATAAACACCAGCAAGACTGAAATTTATTAAAAATATACACTCATGTTTTTAGAGAGATCTGAGGAAAACATATGGAAAAGAATTGTCATTATTAAAGGATATTTCAATAATGAATACATGTAATTTCATGAAATGTGAAACTTTCAGTAATGTCCCACGTAATCCTCTTGATCAAAGGATCAAACAATGAGCTTGTCGCCAATAAACATTTGTTTTGTTCTGTTTAGAGGTTATTTTTTATTCTGTTTTTCTGTGGCAACTGAGTAGTGGTCATTTTCAGCTCCTGTGTTTTTAAAGAACTGTATGATATTCCTCAAACTATCTCTAGCCCCTGATACAACCACACCACATCTGGTTGGCTCACAGCTGCAAAGGATTAACTGACACAGAAAAGAATTAATGTACAAAGAATGGCAGACTGTAAAGGGTTCATATCTTCATCGGCAAGATTTATACGTGTCGCCTGTTAGCACCATGACCAGTTAGCCACCAAAGACTAAGAGGCAGAGTACCAGTAAGTATGAGTCTTAATAGTAAGGTCACAAAGTAGGCTGCAGAAATAGTTAGGGTACGAGTACTTGTTTGTAAAGGAACATGGCTATTTCTTTCCATCCCAGAAGTACTGATACCTGTGTTTCCTTTATCAGCTTGCCCGGCAGAAGGTGGAAAAAGTTTTGGGAAAAATTACTGAGAGCAAAAACAAACTGGCTTATGAAAAGGGAAAACTCCAGGTATGGGATTTACTTTCAGATTTTTATTGACTGAATTTTAAATATTAATTGTCAAGCCAAATGTTGGTTGATGTTTTAGAAGACTAAACATTTAGAAGACTAATCATTTTCTAATTCTTCGGGCTCTGACCCACCCAAAGTTTGTCCCTTCAGTAAGTCCAGGCCACTTCCACAGTGATAGGACGATGCCAAGCCCAAGCCCAGGCTGGGGTGATCTGTAGCCTTATTGTAGTTATTTTATGCATGGTCACTCAGGGAATGTAGAGAGCCTGTGCTGTCTTTTTTGATGGATTTTTACAACACGTTCCTAAAAAGAATAACTGAATATAAAATAGAGGAGGGAAATCCCTGTTGGTGGAGACCACTGTGAAGCAGCCCTGAGCAGGACTGAAATTAATCAGTTGGCTTTTCATGTTCACGTGTGAATCTGTCCAAGGTCTACGCTCCTTGTCTGAAAGTGGAAGACTGACTAATAGTAAATGAACCTCTGTGAGTCACTAATTCCTACTAAAACTTGTAGTGACGGATGAAGCCAGAGAGCCTCAAAGGATAAGACAAGATCACAGCCAAGGACACGTGGATCCAACCTCAACTAGATAGACTGTAGCTTCAGGCATCTTACTGCTGGGTGGATTGATTTAATACCTTATTGGGAGAAGTCCTTGAGAGGTTCCACCCTTCTTGAGTACTCCCCTCCCTTCTTCTGATAACCAGATAAATACGGGGCCATCCAGAGGTCTTGGTCTTAGCCAATCTCGAATTCTGTGAGAGGGCTTTGATCCTCCTGGAGTCCTGAAATCATTCCATTCACCTCTCTTTATTTAGGCTTCACCATACACTCGTCCAGGAGATTGCAGACCTGCAGTAACTAAGGGATATTATTAACCCAAGACCTTTGTGACCAGAATTCCAACCTAAAACAATGAAGCGAGCACCTTAGGGGATAAGTCCTGCCCGTCAGTACTTGTCAAAGTTCCTGAAGTGATTCCAGGGTAAACCGTAGCTGGGCACCACAGGACTCAGCAGGACGAAGTGCAGCCCTGTTGGGCTTGGTGCCCACCAGTTGGGCAGAGGCTTGCGAGACTGCCAGCATTCACTGCATCCTCGTCTGCCCAAGGGTTCACCTTTGGCGTGGCAGGCGACAGGCAGTCAGAAGAGGCAGGCGATCTGAAAGGGAGACATAAGCCATGCTTGAGAAGAAGGTGTCACTATCTAATAAAAAGATAACTATCCACTATTTACATGCTTGCAGTTAGTATTTTCCAGAGGAATGACGCATGTAAGTGGAACCATCTACCTTGTGTAACCTTGGCCACACCGGTGCTTTCACATCAGGTTGGGCTGGCACAGTCCACAGGCACAGACGACCCTGGCCTGGGGAACACGCGTGTGTAGCACATACCCCTGCAAGGTATTTTAAAGGAAGAGCTGCATACCCCACATACCATGCTGGCCAGCTGTCTGCAGCCTCAAGTGGGTGATAGTGGAGTTCAGATATACAAAGGAATTGTATTATGCAGAAGACGACATTTTCAGAATGGACTTGCTAATGAAGGATATAAATCCTGATTTCAGGTGTCAGGCTGTCAGAAACTGTCCCTCATATTCAAGCATGTTTCATTTATAGTCAGTGCTGTATGGTGCTCCATTACATAAACATGTCACATGCATTTATCTCATCTGTTGCTGGATATTTAGTTTCCAGTTTCTTGCAAATGATTACAAATAATACTGCCATGATAAATTCTTGTCCATGTGTCTTGTACTTATATCCAAAAGATTCTCTGAGCTAGGTATAATCTTAAAAGTAGAATTTCTAGGTTGTGTGAGGTACATATCTTGAATTTTACTAGATTTTGTCAAATTTCCCCCTAAAGTAGTGATGCAGTTTTAAAACGGTATGTATAAGAGAGTATATAAAACAGGTGCACCATAGTTACGTGTACTAACATAGGCGAATCTCATTTCTGTCTACTGTTTAAGGATACATAGGTAGTGAAATTATTTTTCAACTATGGGAATGATAAACACCAGATGCATCAGTTTTTGACCCTAGGGTAGATGGGAGATTTGATTAGGAGAGACTGGGCAGAGGATTCCACTTTGTCTGCTAACGTTTTTTTAAGTTGAATGTTGGGTAGGTGGGGCATTACCAAATATGTCTGAAAGAGCCCCAACATGGTTACTGTTTTTATTTTTATTTTTTTATTTTTATTTTTTTTTTTTGGTTTTTCTCTGGTACTGGGAACCGAACTCACGACCTTGCGCATGCCAGGCAGGCGCTTTTGCCTCTGAGCTAAATCCCCAGCCCCTGGTTACTGTTTTTAAACACGTATCGGTGTGAGTTCCTTAGTCTCACACTACTCTACCCCTTGCCTCCTCCACCTCCCCTGCCTGGGTTCAGACATGTTAGCCCGGCCCCCATGAGTCACTGTATTTCTGACCTTAATTTAGAGATTAGCTAAGAGGTTTTGTTTTTTGTTTAATACTTTCTTTAATTGAACCCTGACATATATACCAGAAAATATGCAGAACATGCCTGTGTGTGAACCCTTGAGCAGACAAGGATGCAGTTAATGTTTCTGTAATTTGTAAATGTCATAACATCCTGCCTTTGAGATATATGAGGCTTATGTTGTTTTTTTTATATTTTTCCTCTAGGTAAAAGTTAAACAGCTAGAAGAACAACTACATTCTTTTGCTGAAACCAGTTTACAGAATGACCATCTACAGAAGTTAAATAAGACTCTTGAAGCGAAGTATGCTCAGGTGTGATTAATAGCTACAAAAGCGTATTGCTGCCAGATTGCTAGTAGCTTGTTTTCATTCTTAAGAAATTAATTGATGCCTTTCTTCCCACCTTACCGTGTAGTACGAGAAAGATGAGTATACGGGTATGTTCATTCACTCTCTCTCTCTCTCTCTCTCTGTCTTTCTCGCTGGAGATTGAACCCTGACCGAGCTACATCCCCAGCCCTGTTTAATTTTTGTTTTGAGTCAAGGTCTCCCGAGGTCCCTAAGTTGTCCGGGCTGAGCTGGATCTTGTGGTCCGTCTCAGTCTCCGAGTGCCGCGAGGACAGGCGCGTGCCACCATGTGGGCGCTCTCTCCACTCCACCCCACTCACATCTGTTGGCTCCTGTCTCCAAGAGTCTGCCAAGCCACAGAGCCACACACGAAAACATTAGAACAGCAGCAGATACTCGGCGCAGGGTTAGGACATTCAGCTTGCTTCTAACAGATGTTTAGGAAGGTACTCCGTGCACTTTATTCTAGAATAGAAAGTTGTGTCTTTCAGAAAAGAATAAATTATATGAATAAATATTCATGGGGATGCTATTATGATGGAAAGCACTGAGAAATACCTTCATAAAGGAAGTGGTTTTTTAATTTGAGCCTTAAAAATCTTGGCAGATATGAGGAATAAGTACTTCTGTTTTTTGGGCTGTAGACAAACTCAGAACTCAGTGCCTACAAGGTATGCCTGCAATAGGCAAGCTCACCTGAAAGGGACTCGCGGTGAAGGTGCTTATTCGGCACAGTGGCTGCTGAGGCTGGAAACCTGTGTAGGTCACTTAACATTTTGACAAGTGAATACAGAGCAGTATTTAAACAAGCAAAATATATAAAACATCTAATGGAGGACGTAACCAAGACTGTGTTACAAAAAAAGTGATTGATTTCAATGATCACGTATTTACCACATGTGTAAGTAGATCTTTCAGAACCCTTGGCGCTCGGCATGTGCATGTGTAACCTCTGTGTCTATGACATTCGTGTCCCTATGCACCTGGTAACCGAGGCAGTGGAATCTGTCCTGGCTGGAACAGTCTGAGGGTTCCGCCCAGCCAACTGCTGACTCGGGAAGGGGCTGCACTCGTGAAGCGGGGCTCACTCAGTGTGGGCTTTGGTTTAAGGGCTGTCTTCCCTAGCTCGCACTCTGCAGCGTGGTCTTTTCATTCCGAAAGCAAGGAACACGTTTTTCTCACTGAGGCTTCAGGAGCATCCTACCGTTTCTCCTCGTAGCGTGAGAACTCCTTGGGAAATATCTCTAGTTTAGGTTTAGCTGGTTTGATTGTTTTTAACTGGTGATGCCGCCAAGAAGAAGGAAATCTCCAGAGAGGCCCACATCTTCGAAACCCCCCGAGAGCGCCAGGCCGTATGGGAGTAGCGCGAAGACAAGAAGTTCCGCGGTTGGCCTGCCCAGTGTTGTTTCGAACCCCACAAAGCGCGTGACCTTCGCGCCTGCTCTGCCTTCTGTGAGGACGTGCGCCGCGGAGCTTGGAGACTCCAGAATCTCCCTGAAGACGCTCTTGAATGCCATCAAAACCATGGAGGGAAGACTAGAGGGCAAAATAGAAATTCTTGCCTCAAGACCCTTGCTTAATCATGAGTCGTCATCACATTTTTTAAAACGGGATTTGGTAAGTGACATACAAATTACATCTTAGGGAAATTTCAGGATTGTGTACAAATGAAGAAAGTTGTAAATCCAAAAGGATAATCCTTGAAGATACACATATTAACAGGGAAATAAAGCAAATGGACAATGCAGCCTGAAACCATCCTTCTGGCTATCATATAATTTATATTTTGGACTAGAAAAATTGGCTTAAATGTAATGATAGAGGTTTTTAAATCTAATTTTGATCTTTTAAAAATTCAGCTGGGTGTGGTGGCACACACCTTTAATCTCAGCACTTGGGAGGCTGAGGCAGGAGGATTGTTTCGAGTTCAAGGCCAGCCTGAACTGCATAGCAAGAAACCCTGTCTCAAAAAGACAATAAATCAGTCAGTCAATCAATAAAATAAAATATTCAACCAGTGATACCGCTCAGCAGCACAGTGCCTGCCTGGAAAACACAAGGTCCTGAGTTTGATTTCTGATACCAAAAATAAATAAATGAGTGAATGAATAAATAAATATGAAGATTCATATCTATAATTCCAGCACTTGGGAGGCTGAGGCAAGAGGATCATTGCAAGTTCGAGGCCATCCTGGGCTACAAAGTGAGTTCAAGGCCAGCCTGAACTGCATATTGAAACCCTGTCTCAAAAAGACAAAAAAGAAAAAAAAAATTCAAAGATTCTACCTAACCTTAATTTTTGAGCTAAGACCATTGAATAAAACTAGATTTTAGAACAGAAATATGTTCATCCAAGAAATCTCTAGAAATTGAACATTGGGACGTTTTCCCAAGAAAACGTACTAAAATCTCCATTTGCTTTATAAAGTGCTAAACATTGTCTTGTGAAGTAGACTATTATTTAGATACTTGCTGTAAACATTTTTGTTAATGGCATATATATGCATATATAGAGATTTTGTGTATATATATATATATATATATATATATATATATAATCCTGGTAAAATGTTAAAAACCATATTCTTTCGTGCATACTTTCTTGAACAAAATCCAATAGATTTTTTAGACCTGTAAGTTACCATCCTTTGCACTGTTACTAGATGCTTATGGAAAAATTAAAGCATTTTAGATGTTGCAGGTTAAATTTTAAAGAAATACAAGAATGGTGAGGAAGAAGTGAGCAAAGGTAGTCCTTGTTGCTGATGGGAGGGTAAAGTGGTCCTCCTTCCCACAGAGAGGAGTTGGGCAGTGTGTGTCACAACTTGGACGCCGCAGTGGTACTTCTAGGACAGTGGTGGCGAACCTATTAGAGATGATGACCAGACTGCAACCCAGAGCCCACTTACTTATCATGCAGTGCTCACTTCTGTTTAACCTGAATACTAGGTTTTAGTTTATAAATCAAAAGAACTCATACATTAACATCTTTTGTCTTAAAAGAAAAATAAATAGCATGCATGCCATAGCTTTGCTACCACCGTTCTAGGACATTTCCCTGCATTTATGGTATCTGGTACATAGGAAGTGTGCATAGGGTTACCTTCCGGAGTGTTACTGGTTAAATAACAAGACTGGAAGCAAGCAGAATTGCATATATAATTTTTCTATGTCCAAAATATATGATAGCCAGAATGATGGTTTCAGGCGACATTATTAATTGGCTTTATTTCCTTGTTAATATTGTGTATCTTCAAGGATTATCTTTTTGGATTGTTTACAGCTTTCTTCATTCTTACACAAATCTGAAATTTCCCTAAGATGTCATTTGTATTTGTCACTTACCAATTCCCATTTTAAAAAATATGAAGACTCATAATTATATTATATATAATTATATACATATTATCTAGAGACCTCCCTATATATGTGTATGTGTATGTATAGTACTTTACTATTTGCATACAGAAATGGTAGAGATAAAGAATATATACATATGTACTTGTATATACACAGGATATCTCTAAAATGAATCATCATAATAAATTGGCAGTGCTTGGGAAGAAGGAAGGGGTAGCCAAACTCTTTTTTTATTTTTACCTTTTGTATCTAAAAAATAATACAAATTTGCTACCTGTTCAAAATAATTTATGAACATTTTCAACAAAATGGCCGTGAAAGGTTAGTTTTTTCAACAAATGGTGCTGGGATAATTGGGTTTTCATACCTCACGTCATGTATAAAAATTAACTCAAATGTATCATAAAACTCCTAGAAGAAAACACAGGATGAAATCTGTGAATTTGAAGAATGGGCAAAATATTTGAAAACATTTTACCCTGAAAAATGGTAATATGGGCCAGGTGTGGTGGCATGCACCTGTAATCTCAGCACTTGGGAGCCTGAGGCAGGAGGATTACTGTGAGTTCTTGGCCAGTCTGGACTAAGTAGTGAGTTCAAGGCCAACCTGAAGTGTACATGGTGAGACCCTGTCTCAAAAAAACAAAAACAAAAACAGAACTGTGGGCAGTAGGTAATGGGTGTTACACATCACTCCTTAGAGAAGTGCAAAGAAAACCACGATGAGACACTGCCACACGCCTATGAGAAGGTCTGAAATGTAAAATTGTGCATATCAAGTGTTAGGATGTATAGCAGCTGAAACTCTTACACACTGCCGGTGGGAATATAAAACAGGACAGCCACTTTGTAAAATAGTTTTTTACTTCCTTGAAAACTGAGGTATGGGCTGGGGATACAGCCCAGCCTGGCAAGGGCAAGGTCCTGAGTTCAATTTCTGGTACCAAAAAAAAAAAAAAAAAGTGAGGCATACTACTACCATTAACTGTAAGTAGTCTCTTTATTCCTATTTCCCAAAGATAAATGAGAGCTTCTGACTGCACAAAGATCATACACTGTGTTGACAGCAGCTCTAATTGCAGTAGCGTAGATATGGAGACAACTTGTGTACTCACCAGGTGAACAGATACATAAATTGTGATAAATCCAGAGAAATAATAGAATACCGAGCAACAGAAGGGAATGAACTGTTGATACATGCAACAAATTGAATCTCAGAATGATTATGCTGAGTGAAATAAGCCTTTCGTTAAAGAGTTCGTACACTATAACGTATACACATTTTTATATAAAATTCTAGGAAATGCAGATGACTGTGACAGAAAATAGATGAGTGGCTCCCTTGGGTGGGGGTGTGGGACAGAGAAAAGTGAGTTACAAAAGGACAGATTTCTGGGACAATGAAAATGGTCACTGTTATGGTTTTAAGGGTTTGTATACACGTCAATCTGTACAGTTGTTTATACATCTTATTATATGACAATTATATCTCAAGAAAGCTGTTCAAAAAATGTGAATGTATTACCTACTCAAAATGTTGTTATATTGAAATGGTTAAAACAGATTCTTTTAAGAAAAAACCAGATTCTTGAAAGGACTTTAGAAATAGAGAACAAATGAGTAGGTTTGGGGGGGTAACTACAAAGAGGTAGCAGAAGGGAGTGGTGGTGTAGAGCAAGGGTGCACCCTGGTTATTGTGGCGGTCACACTCATGTCCACGCAGCACCACGTGACTTAGAGCCACGTGTGCACTCATACCCCACGCACACACATGAATGCAGGTAAAAGAAACGGAGAAAACAGTACAATCTGTAAGCTGTCAACAATAACGTCCCAGTGCTAATTTTCTGGTTTCAGTGTTGAACTACAGGGTACTCTGTACTATTTTTGCAATATTCTTTGGGCCTATTTTAAAAGGAATAATGCTTAAAATAGTGCATCTGAAATGATAGTATGGGACTACTAGAAATGTTTCAAAGATACGAAGTTCTAATACCTCTAAGTGGGATTATTCTGCTCTAACTCATTTTATAGATATTGGTACTTATTTTGAAATTTATTATGTTAATGCATTTATATTTTTAAAAGAAAATATTCAGTGATAACCACTTTCTTCCCCCTTTACACTCAGCTTCTTAGCCTTATTGTTTCCATTCCTGTTTTCATGAAGATTGACTAATATATTAGTTTTGTTCGTGTTTATTCACAGATTTTTGTCTTCCTCTTCAAGGGGCAAGCCGCTAATAAGTATGGAATTGATATGTAGTATGGATAAACGTATTTAAAGTCTTAAGTTTGGTTTCTAAATTGCTGTTATTCTAATCACTGATTTATTGTGCAATAGGAAGTTACTTATTGTTTCTTTTTTTCTGCTAAGGTGAAATCCATTCTTGAGAAAAACGAGGAGGAGCTGTCCCAAGCAGTGAGGCGCCGGGACGCAGCTCTGCAGGAGAGCCAGAAGCTGAAAGGGGACCTGGAGGCCTTGGAGGACAGGGAGAGCAAGAAGGCAAGGACCCTCCTTTCTGCAGTGCTTGGGAAACCTTTCACCTGCTGTGCTCCTTGGCTTTTGTTTCCATTAGTAAGAAGAGTGAGGATTGATCAGAAGAGGATTTCTCTTTCTAGAGGAAAGATAAATTTAGAATAGTTTTGTAGTACATAATCTACAACTCCCACTTTTTAAATGAATCAAAAAGAATAGTCTTAATTCTATTAAAACTCATCTGAAAGCCAAGTGTGGTGGTGAACACATGTAATCCAAGCAGTGCAGGAGGATGAGACGGGAGGATCACAAATTCAATTCCCACTGGGAAATTTATGGAGATCCTGTCTCAAAAGCTCTGGGGATGTAGCCCAGCTGTCCCTGGATTTAATCCCTGGTAATGGGAAAAAATAAAACTAGAGCAAACTCTTGACCTTGTTAATAATCTTCATGTTTATGTTTTAACTGATGAGACAGAACAGTGGTATGGGGACGGTGGCATACGCCTGTGATCGCAGCATTCAGGAGGCTGAGTCGGGAAGCCAGCCTTGGCTACATAGTGAATTCTAGGCCAGCAAGAGACCCTGTCTCAAAACAAAAAAGATGATAAGATGCTTCCCCCTTAATATTCATATAATAAGTCTTAATATGAACAGAAGTCACGTCTCAAACTTTTTAAAAATTTTTATTTTAACTGATACATTGTAATTATATATTTATCAGGTACTGTATGACATTTTAATATATGTATGCAATATGTAGTGATAAGATCAGAGTAATTGGCACATCTGTCACCTCAGACATTTATCATTTCCTTGTGTCAGAAACATTCAAAATCCTCTTTGCTAGCTATGTTGAAATATTCAATGTATTGTTGTCAACCGTAGTTATCCTACTGTGCTGTAGAGCACAAGCGTTACCAGGGAGGGAGGTGCACCATGCCTGGTCACCCCCAGTGATCCTCCTCTCCCAAGCAGACCCCACCTCCTAGCAGCAGGTCAGCTGTAGCATCCGCATAGTTCATTCATCGTCCAGAAGCCCCACCTAGGAGTGCATGAGGCCTTCGGAGGGCATTCTTCACTTAAATCATAGCATTCCACCCCAAATACTTATAAAAGTTTTCTATGCAAAATGCATTTAGTCCATCTCTTAAGAATTGCCCAAGTTTTAATATTTCCAGCATTGCTCAAAAGTTCAAATCCAGAGTCTCCTCTGAGACTCAAGGCAAACTCTTAGCTGTGAAACTCCATAAAAATCAGAAAGAAAGTAAAACACTGCTGACATATAATGGGGTAAACATTCCCATTCCAAAAGGAAGAGATATGGGGATAAAAAGGAGTAGGACCAAAGCAAGGTTGAACCTAGCAGTACAAATAGGAAATCTTACGGCCCCATGTCCAGCATCTGGGAAAAGACAAGGCAACAAGACATGAACTCCAAAAGGCTTGGCTGGCCCCACGTCTGTCGCATTGCCAGGTGCAGCTGTCCTGGCCACCCTCTTGGGGTGGCTCCACTCACTGCCGGTGGCGCTCCTCAGTCATTCCATATTCCTGGCTTTTTTGACTTCCTGGGGTTTCCATCGTGCTTCTGGCTTCATTCTCATAGCTTCACAGATTCCCTGGCCTCCTGGTCCTTCTGAAATCTGGTAGAAGCTTCCCTGACCCACAGCTCTTACATTCTTCATAGTGGTAAAATTGACATCATGTGAATGAAGGTCTGCCACCAGCCTGAGAAGTAACTGGGCCTCCTTGGATCATGTGTACAGAGGCCTTCAAGTGCTAGAATGCCTGAACACCACGAAAGGAATCCTGGGGAACTAATTCATGAACAGGGTGCCCGGGGGCTCGCTTCTTGAACCAAAGCCTTTCACTTTGGGGCTCTTGAGCCTATGGCGGGTATAGGGTCATGTTGATTCTTAGGATGCCCTGAATGCATCTTTCCTATCTATTGTCCTGATGCAAAATATTTGGCTTCTTTTTAATGCTAGTCTTTGTAATAACCAAGCTGCTCTCTTCTCCCATTTTATAAATGCTTCCTTTTTGGCAGAAGTAAAAACTTTTTAGGTGGAGTTTTTCTCCTGTTTCTTACAATAACTCTTGCTAAAAGCAGCAAACAGTACCCATTCCTAATCTTAGTCTGCTGCAAAGTCTAAGATATGAGGAAAATATAGACAAAATTCCTACCAGAGCATAACACACAGGATCCTGAGTCCAACTGCCAATGAAGTCTTTATTCCAAGCTGAAACTTCCTGAGCTTAGTCTTTACTATCTGCATTTTCATCAACATTCTGATATTCTAATCTCTGACCAGAATCCCCCATCAAGCTTAGCTTACACACTTCTAGGGCTTTTGTAGCTGGCATCACCTAACCTTTCCATATTCCTCCGTGAACAATTTCCAAAGGCTTCTAAACCACATAGTCAAGTATTCATAGCAATGACCCCACTCCTGGTACAAAAACGTGTCCTCATACTGACACAATAACTGATGCCCACAACTTGAAGGACAAGAGGCTTATTTGGACTCATGGTTATAGTCCGTGGTTGGCCAGCTCCATGGCACAATAGCATGGCATGTGGACAAACTGGAGGAAAGGTGCTCACATCACGGCCACCTGCAAGCAGAAAGAAAAGGGAGGAACTGAGGAAGGAAACATACCCTCCCAGGTTACACCTCCGGTAGCCCTCCTCTTCCAGCCGGACCACACATCCTAACAGCGAGTTAGCTGTAGTGTCCCGTAATTCATTCACCTTCAAAAAGCCCTACCTATGAGCACGTGAAGCCTTTGGGGGGACATTCTTTTGTCTAAACTGTAACTTCCTGCTTCCCCAAGCCCTTCCCTGGTCTGTTCTCTACTTCCCCGAGATCAACTTTTTATGTTCTGTTCTGTTCTGTTCTGTTCTCTACTTCCCCGAGATCAACTTTGTACGTTCTACATACAGGCTGTGATTAAAAAATACAGTAAGTGCTGCTGCCATGTGCCATGTAATGGAAAGGCGGGGATCTTCAATACAAGAAGTGGCACGTCAAACCATAATAGCAGTGTGTGACAAGTTTCAGTTTATTTGATACAGTCAGTCATGAGCTACAGTTGAGAGAAGGTATATTCCAAAGTGTGCCATAAATCATGGGTCACAAGCAAAGCATTTCATTGAAAGTGTGCAGTCATGCTGCTTTGGATTGCAGCTTTTAGGAAATGTCATGACCAACGTTCAGAGTTCTCAATGGGAATCTCCCAGTTCTCCTCAAGCCAAAAAAACACATAGTTAAGATCCAACATTAATATAATGTTGATTGTGTTTTTTGACCTTGATGGAAATGTGTGAGCTGAGTTTGTACCCAGAAACACTATGAACTCTTAATATTATAAGGGCTTATTGAATTCAGAAAAATGAAATAGCCTGAGAAATGAGCAAACAGTTTCATCCCCCATCATGACTACACTCCATGTTACACATTGTTTCTGGTACAGCAATTTCTGTCCAAAACGTTATGTTACGTCCTCGCCCACCGTACGCGTTGGGTCTGGTACTGTGTGACTTCGGGCTCTTCCCGAAAGTCAAAATGAGCATGAAAAATATTTTCTAATCACGTTAGGATACTGAGGCAACCATGACAGCCCAGCTAAAGACACAAAAGAGCACTTCCAGAACCGCTTCAGAAAATGGCAAGAATGATGGGAGAAATGTATTGAAGTGCGGGGAAGTATTTTGAGGGGATTCTTGTCTTTTACTGGAATAAGTTTCTAAAATTTAAACTCACTGTTTTTTATCACACCACATGTAAGGACGGTTTTCTCTCTGTGCCTGACTTTATTTGCTTAACATAGTGACCTTCGTATCTAGCCATGTTGCTGGAGTGATAGAATCATTGTTTCTAAGGCTAATATTCCACTGTGAATATGTACCATATTATTCATTCAGCCACATCTCAGATTTCTTGACTGCAGATGCTAGATTTTGCCTCTTTGCGAAGGTTGTAAGCTACATCCTTCTTCAGCAGGTTCCACTTCCTCCTCCCTTTTCCCCATACAGCACTGGTAGTGGGGTCCAGCTGTGTTCCCCTCTGCTGACCTCGAGACAACGGCTGAGCAGTACAGCCTGGGTCCACTCTGGCCCCGAGTGTACTGACCTCAGTATGTCCAGGTCATGTGCTCGCTGAGTCACCCCAGGAGCTGGGAGACTGCTGCGTTTCCCAGCTTTCTGTCTTTCAGAGTCACATTAATTTAAGAAACACAATATAAAATACTAGTTTGTTCCTGCCAGCCTCCTACCAGGCCTGCTTTCTGTACTCTATCCCAGGAGTCTCCAGAAAGGATCAGGTGTCTTTGTCTTGTTTCATTTTCTTCTAGGTGGGAAACTTCCAGCGACAGTTGGCAGAGGCGAAAGAAGACAACTGCAAAGTTACCATCATGCTGGAAAACGTGCTGGCTTCTCACAGTAAGATGCAAGGAGCTCTGGAGAAAGTGCAGATAGAGCTGGGGCGAAGGGATTCCGAGATCGCAGGCCTCAAGAAAGAAAGGTGCCTGTGGTTCTGCTTCTGTCCTTGTGTCGCAGCGCTGCCTGAGGAGAGTGGGGGGCTCACTGTGCGCCACGCCCTTTGTGACAGACCCCTCCAGAACAGTGTACAGACAGCTGGCAAGCGAGAGCGGGCCAGGAATGAGAAAGGAATGCGATGCCTAAAGGCTCACAGCTGCCCTGCTTTGTAGGGACGGAAGAGAGCATGTACCCTTGAGACGCATGTGCAGTGTTGCTGCCTACCCTTGCTGCTTGCTGCGCTGTCACCACATTTATAACTGGCCGTAATTCCTGTGTCCCACTGGTGACATGCACGACAGTCCCATGGGCAGCTTGGGCCAGTCTCCCTGGCTGGTACAGACTGCGCTGTGGGACGATCATGCGTGTGCCATGGGTGGGTCGAGCCTGCAGGAACGCGTTAAACCCATTTCTTCTTGGGTCTACAGAATAGTAATTGCAGAGGTAACTGAAGCTGGGCTGGGACGGGGCGGAGGGCTTGCCGGCCGTGTGTGAGGCCTTAGGTTTGAGCCCAGCAGCCCCTCCCACACACACAGATAATTGAAGCTAAATGACTAACTTAGTTTGAGTTAATTCATTTATTACTGTCTTACCTCAAGATTAATAATTAGGTGAGTCATTCTGAGAAGTACTTCTAGCTATGTTTTGTAAATAAACTTTAAATGTTTTTAAATTAACAAATATTCCTTTTTTGGTTATGGAAGAAGTAGTGTGCGTCTGGTAAAGATCCTCGTCGGGCCTGCGTGTACCGGTGGTGCACAGTGCCTGTACGTCATGAGAGAGCATGTGAATTTTCCTTTTTCCGTTGTGCTTATTTTCATATATTACTGGGGTACATATAGCTTTGAGTTCAAAATGTCAAGGGAATAGCATTAACAATACTGTTCACTGTGCATAGTAAAATCCCAAGTAGCAGTTGTACTGAAAAGCAGAACTTTCAAGGGCAAGCAGTCCTTGTAGACGTGAGTGTTTTTGTAATGCTGATCCATGCAGTATCAAGTTACCAGCCCATTAAGTTAGTTAGGGACGTGTTCGGATACCCGAACGCAGTGGTGGTGAGCCTAGGCACGCGTGCCACAGCCAGCTGTTTGTTGTCATCGAAGCCTCTAAGAGGTTCGCCGTCACTGTCCTAACGTATCAGGCTGAACTGAATGAGAAGTCCTTGAACTCTCAGTGGTTCAGTGTTTTAACCGCAGCTTGTCGTCGGCCAGCTCCTCGGTGTTTTGCGTGCTGGTGGCCAACCCCGCGTGATGGTGGGCGCGTCCCGGGAGAAGGGTGGACGCTCCCAAGTGGTAGCACCCCCAGAGGACGCTTTCCAAGGGTCGCTCTCCTGGTGCTTTCTGTCCGAAGGGCTCTAACCCTGCAGCGGGTGCAGAAGCTGGAAGCCGAGGTGGACCAGTGGCAGGCCCGGATGCTCGTCGTGGACGCGCAGCACAGCAGCGAGGTACGGCCGGAGCGCAGGTGGGGGGCTGTGGTGTTCCCGGCGCTCAGAGAGAGCAGCGCACGGTCGGGTCACCCTCCTCTTCACCCACGTCCGGGTTGGGACGCTGACCTATCTGCAAGTAGGAAGTAGACCCGCGGTCTTGTGGGCAAGCGAGGACCATACTGGAGACTACTTTTCTTGGCTTACCTGCTGCACACTTCTCATGTGTTTTAATGAACTATTATATCTCATAAATGAAATATGTATGTCATTTATATTCCTCCAAAGATAATTTCAGACATTAAAGAGCCTTTAAAAATTACTTTTAATCTTTTAAGTAGCTAGGGTGATCGCGCTGTTAGTAAGAAGACATGCACACACGTGGTGCACCATGTGAGTATCTACATGTACTGTGTGCGTGTGTATTGTGCCGGGGATATTTCATAGAACCTTTTTAAACAGTGTACAAGAACAGTTGCCAGTTTTTATCTTTCTAGGGAATGAGAGCAGGAAGTGATAGGATCAGGGAGAGAAATGTGACTGGTTAAGGATTGGCTCTGTTTTCCAAGCCCACTGGGACACGGGCCCGCCCTTCCCCGCCTCGCGGAGTCTCTGAGGCGATGTCCGTGGAGAGCTCCCGTGTGTGCGTTCCAGGCCGCCGGCACCGCTGACCCTGGTTCTAAGGAGTAGCTCGGCGGCACTTGCGGAGGCAGCAAGAGGAGTGAGACGTGGTTTCTTGCATCTGTCACAGTGTACTGAAAACACTCCTCTCGCTTTCAGATGGAGCCGCTGCAGAAATCTCTAGATGTAGCTAGAGAAGACAACAGGAAACTGGCCGTGAGCCTGGAGCAAGCTCTCCAGACAAATAATCGTCTGCAAACCAAGCTGGATCATGTTCAAGAAAAACTGGAGAACAAAGAGCTCGAGTGGCAGAATTTAGAAACCCTCAGGTAAGGACTTTGCTCCTAAACTGGGGAGAGCAAGAAGAGCTCCTTCCCGAGCCGGGTCAGGCCCTGCCCACTCTGCGCTAGGATGTCCAGCCATGTGGCGAGGGGAGGCCTGAGGGGCACCCCAGGGGGTGGGCGGCCCCTGCCCCCGCCCTCCATCTTCCCGGCCCACCCTCAAGCCGCTGCTTCAGGTGAAGGTTGAAGGACACTGCTCTAAAGCGCACTGATGTGTCTCCCCCCAGCGCGTCTGTCTGGAGGAGAGCAGCGGACTGGATTCTCACGCCAGTCAGCATTTTCAGCTTCCACCTGGGCTTCGGAGGGTCAGGGGTCCCCCAGTCCCGGCACGGACTGCACAGCAGGAGGCTGGTAGAGGCGGAGGGCGAAGCCTCCTGCGCTCCCAGCCCCCACTGCTCACACCACGGCGTCCTGTCAGGCCAGGGCACGCACCTGCGGGGTCTGGGTCCAGGCCTTTTGAGAGTAACGCAGAGGAAGGCACAGTGCCCAGGAAGTGTGATGCACGTGGTCCCCCTGAAGCCAGCCCCCTCGCCGCCACTGGCCTGCAGAGAAATTGTTTTCCACAAGACCAGGCCCTGGTGCCAGAGGCTGGGACGGCTGTGGTCAGAGACGCCCGTCTGTGTCCTGTCCTGTCTCCCTGCTATCGGCTACTCATGCTAGTTACACTTGCCCATGGCTTTTGACTCTTACAAGGATAGGTGACTCCAAAAAATGTTTAAAACCGATAGACCCTTTACCCTCTGCTCCGCAGCATCTCTGATGCTGCTTTGGACGGCAGCTGTGTTCTGTGGTCTCTAAAATCACGTCCGCAGGTGGGCTGTGCTTGTCCACTTGCCTGCGTCCTGCTGTAGGGAGCCTGCAGCTGAAGCTGCCCTCCGGGCCTTGGCAGGACCCTGGTGATGGGCGCGAGGTCTCCAGGAAGCACTGCTCGACAGAATGGGGAGGCTGAGGCCGCTGGAGCTGCCCGTGTTGTCACTAGTGTTTCCCGCCCTCCTCGCATACCGCCCCAGCCTGCCTCGGGACCTACAGCTACGTGGGGACGGAGACACTCTTTGTCTGTACTATGTACATTGCACGTTCATAGCGCGGATTACTTTCAGACTTATACTTATTCCGACGTGGGTTTTAGAGTCAGCCCACCACTGCCCGTGTCCAGGTCCCGGCTCTGACGCGGTGATGTCTGACCTGGAGGTATGGCGCACCTCCTCTCCATGCTCCCTCTCCACCTGAGTGCCACTGAAACGACAACGCAGGGCCACAGCGGGTGACGCCGGGGCCGGAAGGCGTAGGTGATGCAGATGCCCGTTTCCGTTTCTGTAAAATGGGAGTCATAACTACTTGCCGTCAGATAGCTGTCCACGCTGCTGTCAGTGTTCCTGAGACTGCGTCTCGGCGCGTGACAGCCCAGCCGGCGCCGCACTCGGGGTCCTCCCGCCTTGGCCTGGCACAGTGGCCTCACGCGGCGCGGATCTCGCTACCGCGCTCAAGGGAGTGAGTGCGTCTTACCCAACACGGTGGGCGGGGATAGCGGCGCTGTCACCGCGCCTTAGCCCTAGAAATTGAAATCCCCTTCTCACTAGACTTCAAATTTGTTTTGATTAGTTTACCTTTACACTTTAACTGGGAGTTAAAATCTAAGCCTTCCGCCTCTGCCCCGGCGCGTACGTCCCGTCCCGTCCCGTCCCGCCCCCGCTCCCTGTCGAGCCGGCACCGAGTAAGTGGGAGCTCTCCGCGCGAGCTGACGCCGCTCTGCTGCCCGCATCTCTGGGGCTTAGCCGCCCTGTTCTTATTTCCGCCCAAGGAAAATTTCAGACCGTCCGTCGCTGGTTCCCTCTTCTGCATTGAGCTCCATCCCCCGCTGCTGGTTGCAGAGGAAAGCGTGCCACCCTCATGTTCAGGGACCCCCGCCCCGCATGGCTCCTGGCACCCGTGTTCCTCCTCCCCTACACTTGGGCAGGGTCCCCCCGCCCACCCCGAGAACAAACTGCAGCCGCGGCAGTGTCTTCGCGGCTGCCCCTGCTGTTTTCTGAGCTGCTTTCTCTTCTCCACCCCGTCCTGGCGGTCGTTCCGTCCATCAGTCACTCTAGGGCTGCAGAAGTGCCTTCTGGGAGTTACGAGCCCCAGAGCTCAGTGGCGCCTTCTCTGCTGTCTTCTCTCACACCTCCCCGTGCTCTGTGCTCCAGGAGTGCGGCGGACCGGGTCTGACCGCTCTGTCCTCTCCCGCCGCAGTCGCGGACCAGCCCCCCCTGTGGAGTAGCCCAGTGTGCGCCCCCCTTGCAGAGCAGGCCTGGTCACCCAGTCTAACGGCTCCACCTCGGAAGCACACATCCGAAGTAGAAGCCCGGACCTGTGCTTTCTTCCTGATAAGTACAACTGCGCGTGCTTTCAGGCCTGTGGATCTTAGGTAAAGCGTGATTCATCTGTGAGGAAGATGCGACCTCTCTAAAGCAGCGGCATCGGGTAAATTCTGAGCCAGCACTGCCAGCAGAACGTAACCTCGCCTCATCCCACTCCCAGAAACGGCCCCGCCGTGATCTTAGTAGTAGGGGAAGCAGTAACATTTTGTGGTCCCCAAAGAATTTCCTGGGTTTTGAACAGCTCCCTGCCTAAACCCTTACTGACCAGCTGACACGAAGCCTTTTAAACGCTTCTGCAAACCACTGTGCAAGCCAGAGCAGTGTTTCAAGCAGAACCATGTTGGCTTGGGGCTGAAGCCTCTCACTAGAACGTCTGTGCAAATACTGCCTCCGTGTCAGCGCGTCCCTTTCTCCTGCACTGACTCAGAGCAAGGGCGCGCGCTGCCTCTCCCTTGGGCCCAGTACCCAAGAGAGATCCATGTCTCGGTCACATTTGCCGGTGCTTTGAGGCACGGCGTCGGGCTTGCCCTGAACTGAGACTCGGAGGCCGTCCTGGAACCTCACCCTAACAGTCGTGTCCCCAGCGGCCCGCCTTCTTGGCACGAGGAACCAGTTCCTTGAAAGCTTTCCACAGAGCAGGGAGCAAAGAGGGTGGCGTGGTCTTGTGTGGTTCGCACAGTTCGATTCGCGTGCACGTTGTGGTGATGACACCGGCTTCTCAGAAGGAGCCTGCAGCCGGGGTCCCCCGTGCTTGGTCCTCGGCAGGCGCCTCGCCCCTAGATGCGCCTGCCTGCTGACCGGCGGCGGTGGCGCTGTGGGGGGCGCTGGAACTCGGAGGCTCCTGGCCGGCGCCCTGCCCACGCCCGGGGCCCTGAGACCCGGTCGCACATTGAGGGCCTCCTCTGTTTGCCTTTGGTTGAGTTTTTACCTTTTGGTTGGATCTCTTACGCAGAATGACTTTTAATGCTAGAGGAACAAGCACTTCTTTCCTTGCCGCTGAGCTCCAGATCGACGAGACGCAGCCAGTGACCAGTGTTTCGCTCGGACACCTTTGGAGAGCTGTGCGTTCCCCGCACGTGGTTCTGCCTCCTGAGATGACTTTTCAAGCTGAGTCACCACCTGTCGTCTTCACAACAGGGAGCGGATGACAGAGGAGTGCAAAGTGGAAGCAGAAATGCACGCCGAGCGCATAGAGGGTCTAAGAAAGCAGTTTCAGACCGAGAGGGAGACTGCGAAGAAAGCTGCTCAGCGGGAAGTCACTGAGGTACGAGTTGGGGAGAAGAAAGTCTCTCTCTGGGTGAGTCCTTTTCAGAGGGGCCGGCAGAGGGGTAGCAGAGTAGCCGTGGTGGACTCAAATTATTTAAGTAATCGCCATGCCGTTTTTCCACGAGAGAAATTTGTTAAAGTCATTAAGAATAAAATTTAGAGCCAGGCGTGATGGCACACAGCTGTAATCCACCACTCTGAGGCCGAGGCAGGAGGATCTCCATGAGTCCGAAGCTACCCTGGGCTACATAGTAAGTTTCAGACCAGCCTGAACTACACAGTAAGACCCTGTCTCAAAACAAAAAAAAAACAAAGTATTATGAAAATACAGGCAGCTCAGGAGGTTTATATAGACCCCCGTATCGTTTGCTTTCGCGTTTTGCACGTGAGCTTGCCTATGACAGAAGAGAGGAGCTTGTAGCGTGGTCCTGGGCGGCCACCGAGCACCCAGCTCTGCGTTCTTTCTCTCCCGTCTCACTGAGGTCTTCTCTGTGTCTTGCTTTTCCGGAGAAGGGCTCAGGAAGTCACTGACCCCAGACCACTCGCTCGTAAGTGGGGAAGCTGAGTCCAGGTCTGCTCCAGAGCCGTGCGCTTGCAGTTCAGATAGTGAATACCTCCTTGCATCCTTCCTCTGTTCTGAGAGGTTTTCTCCAGGCTCAGAATCACACACCTGCCTGGATCCACTGCTCTGTGAACCCACCTGCCCCGCTGCCAGTGCCGGCGCCTCACTGAGGGACACCTCCAGCCGGGTGAAGAGACCCCCGCGTGTCCCTTTGTGTTCCCAGCTGAAGAAAGCCCTGGACGAGGCCAACGTCCGGTCAGTGGAGGTGTCCAAGACCAACCGAGAGCTGCGGCAGAGAACGGCCGAGCTGGAGAAGACGCTGAGCTGCAGCCAGGAGAAGCTCAAAAGCCAGAAGGCCCAGATAAAGCTGCACATGTCAGCAAAGCTGGCCAACGCCCAGAACGTGGAGAGGATGAAGGTCCGGCCGCGTCCCGCCCTTCCGCGGGGCGCCTGGGAGCGGGCGCTCTCCCTGGCAGGGGCAGCCGCCTGGGCCCTCGCCCCCTGGGCAGATGCAGCTGTGTGGACGCTGCCGGGCCCACACCCTGCCCCCGGCGTCCCCCGCACAGCGGCGCTCCTGCACCCGGCTCCTCTGGGCTCCGCGGGCCGGGCAGGAAGTGGAGCCACCAGGGCCCTCGCCCCTCCCTGGGGTCTGTCTGTCCTTCAGGGCAGAAGAACAGCCAGTTTTCCCGTCTTCTCACGTCGTGTCTACCTTTACTTTCAGCAAATAGAAACGGAACTGAGGCAAATGGAGCTGATTAAGGATCAATATCAGAAAAAAAACTACGAACAGGTAGCGGTCTCCCGCACGGCTCCTTCACCGCCCCCGCATCCCGCCCCTGGGCTCACCGCGGTCCCCCTGTCGCTCCCACCAGTCCCTGAGCATCCAGAGGTTCGTGTCGGAAGTGGCCAACCTGCAGAAGGAGATGCAGCTGCTGGCCAAGAGCCAGTGTGAGACCTCGGCCCGGAACAGACAGCAAGAGCTGCGGCTGGCGGCCGAGCACAAGCTGCGGCAGGAGCTGGAGGGCCGGTGCCAGGTGAGAGGTGCCGAGGGCAGGAGTTGGCGCCCGCCGTCCGGGGCGCCGCGGCCCTGCAGAGGAAAGCCGTGTGCTTGCGGCTCATCTGAGGACGTGCTCTCTCGGAGGAGGCCTGCAGCTTGGAGGACGGCAAATGTTTTCCACGTTTCCCCAGTCCTGGGGGTAGACCCAGGCCTTTGCCCTAGGCTACGTCTCCAACTCCTTTTTAATTTTTTATCGTGAGCCTGGGTTTATCAGTGGGTTGCCCGGGCTGGGCTTGAACTTGCAGTCCTCCTGCCTCAGCCTCCCAGAGTGCTAGGATTATAGGCCTGTGCCCACTACTGCTTTTAATTCCATAAAAATACCCATTTGTAGAGAACAGCTGCTCGAGCTTACATCTGCAGAGCACCAGCTACTAAGTAAGGCTTCTGAGTGGCCGCCACGGTCTGCGGGAGTGCAGTCCCCTTGCTGCTTCCTGAGCACGGATACACGTGCCACTGTGACAGGAATCGTAGCAGCTCCCGACCTAACAAGAAGCAGAGCACTGCATCGCTGGGGAGGGACGTCGGCAGAACCTTAAACCCTTGCCTTTCAGCAGGGACTGTCTGCTAGGAAAGGTGCCTCTCCCCTCTGCAGACGTGAAGCAGTCTCCGCAGCATCTGTAAATCACCCCGGGAACGGTGTGTGTAGGTTACACTGAAGATAGGTGTGAAATTTGAAAGTGCTCCGTCCTGCTTTTGTAATTTCACTGCCACTACAGTTTCGAAGCTCTGTGGTTGGTGTGCTGCACTGGAAATTGGTGAGGTGTCCGTGTCACATTTTCAGGAGCTGGAGGAGACCATCAGACACCTGCGGAGGTGTAAAGAGGCAACGGAGAATAAACTGAAAGAGGCCAGCATGGAGTCGGAGCAGGTGAGCCAGAGCCGCGGGCGTGAGGGCCACGACCACGCCCCAAAACGACCCCAGCGCCCCGCTGAGCAGTCCTGCGGGAGGCGTGTCGCTGCAGACGCGGGCCTGCGTCCGGGGCGGGCGGCAGGCGCTGCGTGCTCGCCCTGAAGGCCGAGGGTCCGGCACTGTGTGGAAGGGGAGACGCGCGCGTGTACACTAACGCTTCGCTATGTGGTGGGAACCGAGGAGCCAGCCTTGTGGCGCACACCTGTCATCTCAGCTGTCAGGAGGCTGAGGCAGGAGGGTCACCGTGAGTTTGAGGAACTATATAGTGAGACCAGGTCTCAAAAAAAAAAAAAAAAAAGAAAAAACCCTAAACTAAAAATACAAAGTGGAAACTGGGCAGTCAGTAACTGGAAGGATAGATTGTGCCGTTTGCACATTTGCTAACTCAACTCAAATCGGCCCATTCAAGGATACATAGAACTATGCATGGTTAGAGCTGGAAAGGAGCCTGGGCTGGAAGTGCCACAGGGCTCTGCTGTCAGGGTATCGCTCGTCCCTGTGAGTGACGTTGGTGACGCGGAGCACGTGACAAGCCTGAGCGCAGCAGGTGAGGGAGAGCCAGCCGTGGCGTGTGAACGCAAGCCCACCTGTGTTCCTTACCGTCTCTTTCAGAAATGACTCTTGCCGGGCGTGGTGGCGCACGCCTGTGACCGCAGCACATGTGGGGATGGGAGGCTGAGGCAGGAGGATTGCTGCAAGTGTGAGGCCAACATGGGCTACCTAGTGAATTCAAGGCCAGCCTGAAAGACATAGCAAGACCCTGTCTTTCAGAAAAAATTAACAAGTGACTCTGATCTCGTAGGTTCTTGAGCGTATTGTACAAATAGCTGGCGAGGACCTCGCGGTCAGAACTTAGGTCTCTTATCATCAGGTAGAAAGTCTCAAAGTGCGAAAAGCCTGTGGCTGTCCCGTGTGCAGATAACCGCCAACCTGGAGGAGGCGCACCGCTGGTTCCAGTGCAGGTGCGACGGCCTACAGCTGGAGCTGACCAAGAACCGGCTGCAGAGGCTTCCCCGGGAGGACAGGTGGCCGGAAGAGGTGTGTCCGCGGGCTCCCCGCGCGGCCCGGCTCGCGGCTTCTCAGGCGGCCGCGGGCGCTTCCTCCGCGCGGGAGGCCGAGGCCGTTCTCCCTGATCTTCCCGCCCGGGTGCCGCCTCCCCCAGCCCCAGGCGGACGGACAGGCGACGTCGGGGGCTCGGCCCTGGCCTCGCTGGGGAAGGCTGCGCGTGTTTTCTTTCCCACAGGACGAAGACACGAGGCACAAAGTCACGTCCACCCAGTCTGTTCTGCACCGGTGGGAGACGAAACAGAGCCTTGGACTTGGGCCCAAGAAGCTCCCCTCCGAGGTGGAGAGGAAGAAATGTCCGTGACAGAGGAGCTGCCCGGACGCGGCTGCACCTCCGTGACGCGGAGCCCAGGGGCCGGGGCTGGCCCGCTGCACGGCCAGGGCGCGGCCTTTGTGGGCGGAGGAGCTGGGCCGAGTTTGCCCTGCGTGAACTCTTTTGTATCGCCACAGAGCCACCCCGCCTCCCTGTCCCTTCCCGTCCCGCACCCAATAAATGTAGTTTGTTGTATGGTAGGAGCGGCCGCCCCAGAGCTGCGTCTTCCCGAAGGAATTAGTGCGGCGCTGCGCGAGGGGGCTGCTAAGGGACTGAGCCTGTGTGCAGTGAAACGCCGGCAGGTTCCCTGTCTTCCCGGTCACCGCCTGGACCGAGTCTAGCAGGATGGCGCTGTGGCCCACAGGGGTAGGAGGGCGGAGGGGCCGGCGGGAGGAGGCGGTCTGCGCGGAGGGCCCGGACAGCTGTCCTGGAAAGAGCGGCCGTCTCTGTTCCGGCTGAGCCTGGCCGTTCCCGTGTGTTGGTGTGCGCAGAGCTGGCTGGGACTTGCCCTTCTCCCCCAGGGGGCTTTAGGCAATGCAGATCGGCCCAGCCCGGGTGCTCAGGTGTAGTCATAGTCATCCGAGCAACGCCACGGTCAGTGAAGGCCCGCCTAGAGCTCCCGAATAACGTGTGAGCTAGGCCGCGCACAACAGCGCTGAGATCGAGCCTTGGGAAGGAGGCCGTGACTCAGGGCCTAGCAAATTACACATCAGCACTGAAGCAAAACCCCAAAACGTGAGAATCCTCCAACTGTGTCATGCAGATCACTCTTCCTGCATGTCCTTCTCTCTACAGATCACAGAGGTGACTTCGGGCCTCCTACTAGCCCAGCTCACAGCGCTCACCTGCTTCCGCCGAGCCACTCCCTCTTCACGGATTAATAAAGCTGGGTTCCGCCCTGGGTCAAGGCCTTGGCTCCAGTTAGCCATCCCGCTAGCTGGCCTTAGGACCCCCTGACTCTCCACAACTACAAATGTGCCTTAGTGTCTTTATTCTCACCGTGGGTTGCCCTGGAAGTGGTAGATTGGAGTTAACTCACTAGACTTGCAATGACTTTTCCCTGGGATGACAAAGGTGGACTTCTCTGGGCCTCCAGGAGGTTCCAGAGGGCTTTCTGCAGTCTCCGCCTAGAAGTGAGCAGCCTTGCCCCCCACCCCTGGGGTGTTCCTGCCCTAGAGCCACCGGGCAGAGGGCTCCCCGTTAGTGTGATTTCATGGTTGTGTCCACTGTGAAACTTGTTGGCTCCTACATGTAGGACTTGGGTCCTTTCCCTAAACTCCATTTAAAAGAAAATAAACATAATGTAAAGACGCAGCCTTTAAAATCAGTGGGTCTGGCTCAGAAGTAGACCAGCGTTCCATGGGACAAAACAAAGGTCAGAAATAGCTCTTAGAGGTTGGGCCGTGGCAAAGGCGGTGTCTGGAGTGGCAGAGCCCTTCCCTTCCCTGCGGAAGGCCCTGGGATGTAGCTGGCGGCATTCTTGCCTGGAAAACGGGTGGCATCAGCTCTGCTACCGGCTGTGTTGCTTAGGGTGAACATGATCCCAGGCGGCTGGGTTGTGTCCGGCCGAGGTGTGGGGTGGACAGTAGCCTTGTGGGCAGCACGGGCGGCACCTCCCGTGCAGCGTCACTCCTGTGGCCCAGGGTGGCCTTCCCGGCGGGGCCCTGTGTGCCGTGTCCAGAACCCTCAGCAGCAACGCTGGTTGCTCTGGTGGCTTTGTGCTTTTCCCCGTGCTGTCACTTGGGGAGCAAGGCGAGCTCCCAGACTCCTGCCCGGGCACGGTGGCCCCAACCCCCTGCCCTCTGCAGGAGGTGAGCTGTGCCAGGTGGGCTGCTGGTGTGAGCGTCCCGCTGCCCCGAGACCACTGCTGGGCGGGCAGCGTGGACCTTGCAGATGGCTCTCAAAGCAGTCCAGTGGTACCGCAGGCTGGCCGGCGGGCCGTGGGGAAGCAGGCGGGCAGCGGGTGTGGCGCAGTGCTAGGGCGCCCAGCAGCGTGCTCGAGGCCTGGCTTCCGTCCCCAGCGCCGCGAGAAAGAGCAAGTGTGCTGCACCCTGCTGGCCCAGGAGAGCGCGGGGCAGACACCGGCGGGGGGAGAGCGGCTCTGGCCGGCGCTGCACTCCCCGACCATCCGTGTTCCCGTCCCCGTGGCGGCGCGAGCTGCCTGTCCTCGTGCAGTCACAGTGAGAGGCCCGCCAGCGTCACAGTGAGGTAGGTCATTTCCGTATGAGGCCAGAGCAGAAGCTCACTACAGAGCCTCGCTCACCCGGCCCGGCCAGGGCTCTTGTCTTAGTGATTTTTCTCTCACTGTTGAGACAAAATACCTGACACCCAAAATTAAGGAAAGAAGGATTTATTTAGCTCACAGTTTGTGGAGATTTTAGCCCATGCTCGGCTGGCCCCAAGGCAGAGCGGCACGTGGCAGAGGGCAACAGTTCTCTGCGGCAGAAGACAGCAAAAGGGAGGAGCGATGGCAAGCGGCCTCTCCCCCTCCCTTACGCCGTGTGCAGGCTGCCCGCCCCAGGGCACTCACGCCCGGAATTCCAGCATTGGACCGTGAATCAGTCCTAAACTCTCAAAGCCCGCCCATGACTGCACGTGGCTTTGAGGGCACACCCAGACACAGACCATCACAGCTCTGCACTTTTATTCCTTACAAGGTCTCAGGAGAGGACCTCACGGGCAGGGGATGGAGCTCAGCAGCACAGCACATGACTGGCAAGCGCAAGGTCCTGAGTTTGAGTCCCAGTACCAAAAAAAAAAAAGGCCTCGTAAGCCGGTGCAGCCCGCACCTCTCAGACCTGCAGGTCACCTGCATGGCCGCTGCAAGGCCCCGCATGTTGCCTGTGTTCTGTCAGTGCAGGGGTGGCCGGGGCTGCCTGCTTTCTAATGGGACCTTATTAAGAATTCCATTGGCTTTTCCAAAATACAATCCACCTTTATTTTGAAGTTTCATGTTGGCTTATGGGGGGAAAGGCTGGTCAGTTTGCCTATGCCAAGTTTTAAAATTTGAGTTTGACAGAAGATGCCACGAATATCATGAAAACACAGGAGGCTTAATGCTATGTAAGAATGCCTACAATTCAATAAGAAAATAGGACCCAATTTTTTACAGTACACGAAGAATATGCCAGCAATTCAGAGAAGAAACAATATCCCAAAGGTTCCCGAAACACAAGATTGCAACCTTACCGATGTACAAATGAAGCAGCTGTCTTGGGGGGCTGCTTCGTCTTTGGTTTGGTTTGGTTTGGTTTGGTTTGGTCTGGTCTTACCTACCAGTGCGGGGGGGAAATACCAAGTTTGAAGCAAGCACGGGGACAGCCTCGCTCTGGGCACAGCCCTCTGAAAGGGCCACTGGGCATGGGTGGGAAACACCTGTGCCTGCACTTCCTGATCCTAGCTACACAGGGAGCGCACGTGGTCCTTCCTACCCGGGAAGGCTGTGAGCCGCCTCACTCATCCTCTAGGAGCACTTCAGGCCTCTCTGAGTGATGCGCAGGACACACGCTAGGGTTTAGATCTGAGCTGTCCCCCGCATTCCGTGTGGAAGGTCAGCGGGTGATGGGGTGGGATCAGCTGAGGCTGAAGGTGCTGCAGGGAGGCCTGGGTGGAGGTGGCCGCTGGGATTGTGACCTGGAAGGGCTGTTCGTGTTCCCAGCTCCCCCTTCTCTCTCTGCTCCTGCTGCGGTGAGGTGAGCGGTTCTCCCGCACCGACTATGGACTGAACCCTCTGAAACTCGAGCCAAAGTAAGCTGCTCTGCCAAGGGCGCCGTTGGGCGTGCCGCTAGTGCTTCGCCCTGGCGATGAGGTGACGGAGCTGGGCTGTCTGGCTGGTGCTGACCGCGCCTGCGTCCGGGCTCCCCTGGGCTGTGCTTCCGTCACACCAACGTGAGCTGGGGACGAGAGCAGGACTGAGCGCGGACAGGCCTGGCATTTAACCTTGCTGGCGCCGGGCTGCTTCGGGCTTTGAGAATCTCCCGGGACAGTCCCTGGGACTTGCTCCTCTCGGTCCAAACGGGCGCAGCGTCCGGCCCTTCCCCGCTGGCAGTGCGCGGCGTTCGCGGGGCCTCGAGTGCACAGCCCAGGCCTCCTGCCGGGCCGCTGGCTCCCACGCGTGGCAGCTGACCCCCCGCCCCCGAGGCCGCGGAGCTCCCCTGGCGCCGCGCTCCCACCTCCTCCCCGCCCGGTCAGGTGGGGGGCCCGCAAGGAGGACACGGCGGCCGCGGGACGTGGACAGCCCGCCTTGCCT